ACTGCGAAATCATAATTATTTTAAATAGTATCTACATGGGATAATGACTATTTGAAATGTCAAATTACCTAACCACATGTTGACATAAGAGTAAAACAGCACTGTGAAAGATTGTTATTTACGTGTAGTAACAGACTGTGTGATTATTTATAGGTCCACACAAACCACACAGGACGGCTATTTTCAGAACACAGGATTAACCCGGATCAAAGGCACGTTAATTAGGGAAAGAGTATGGCGATGACAGAGGGCTAACAAAGTACCAGAGACAATGCATGTTATGATTTAGCTACTCTAATGACATGTTTATCCTAAAAGCACTTAAAACTGTACAAAGGAGTGTGCAGGGTTTTTGTGCCATACTCAAAGTTACACATGGAGAATAATCCATAAATGTTTCTGGATCATTACACATGAGGTTTGAAAAATGTTCAGCATATTTATGCTTTCCAATACTACATAATAGGGCTGGGGGATTTAGCCTAAATTCAAAATCTCGATTAATTGGACAATTTAACTCGATTGCGATTAATGAACGATTATTTTATTTATTAATTTTTATTGTATACATTTATTTTTGTGCAGTAAATATGCATTGTTTTTGGTATAAGCTGCTCTTGTTGCTTAGTTGTCTCAGTTTTTAGGTTGTTCATGTTAGACATGTTGGCGGAATGACGTAATTAAGCCAGGTCACGTGACCTTACATGCGATAGGGATAATAACAGAAAAAATGTAATCAATTACACTTTCTGAATGTCAATTTCGATTAACCACCCAGGCCTCTTACATAATTTGATTGAAAATACAGCAATATAACTATTACAAAACAAAATAACTGTTTTCAACTTAAATGTATTCCTAAGAAGGCAAGGCTGAAAATTTCTTTATCTAAAGTGCTTTTAAATGCTTTTTAAAAAATTAATTAGAACTGAATTTACAGCAGCTACACCTCTAAATGTTCTTTGAAAAACAGAAAAGTGCAAAAACAGCATTATTTATTTATTTGTGTAAACTTGTGTGACCTTTTACACACTTCTATATATATTTATTTGGGATTAGTGCCATTTTAATTTAATGCTATATTAAATCTCCCATCCAGATAATTTCACAATAAAACAGGAAACAATCATTGAAATGTAATCCACGGACTAAATCTGAACACAGATGAACAGATACAACCCTGAATGGGAAATAATTAAAGTTGAATTTGATCAAATGCAGACAACAGCACATCCAATAATCAAATTCACCAAAATCTGAATTAAGATAAATTCCAAGATATTTGTGAGAAAGCCCTATCTTAAATGTCTTTAAGCTCTTCCTAATATACAATTGAAGATGTTTGGAAGAAAGTTCCTTGGCATAATTCTTCAAGACTTCTTATGTTCCTTCATTTCAACTCATTTTTGCAGAGTTGCCACTGAAATTTTCAGTAAACTGTGTTTTATATAATAACCATAAATCAATGTTTACATTACTAATCATTTCATTTCATTTTGGAAAACATGTGCAAATCCCCAGTAGTAGTAATAGGTATTAGATGCATCTACTGTCATGTTGTAATGCTTATTATTAACATAAATCAACTTGAATCAACTAAATGTATTCCTTATCTTAATATCTTCTGGTATTTTATATGTGTTGGAGGGTGTGTTTACTAACTGATGTTTAAAATTACACTGTCCGAGAATTTGAATTCATAAATTTTGGTTTAGTATTTCCTATAAGGCTAAAACGAGTAAGAATAAAAATGCAATTTTAAAAGAATTAGCTTTTTAATATTTATTTTCTTTCTTTCTTTATTTAGTAAATTATTTTATTCTATAATTTTGTAAGTCATGTTTATATAAATGCTGTTATGAGACTGTTGTTTCATAATCTAAGTAACACCCTGGCTGTGTTTCAAAAGCTAACAGGCCCTCTGTCTACTTAGACAGCATTTGGGGGTATCATAAAGCATGTTTGGCACATTATGGTATTTCTAGGCATGCCTGTGACGCCCAAAAATGTTGTTTAGGTATGCAGGCAGTTCACTGGGTTTTGAGAAACCGACTGTTAGTGTATGAGAAGTTAGTTCCCCACCCTGAGCTTGCCCAATGCATCCTCAAGTCAAACTTCAACCAGCTTCAAAAACAAGTGTCCATTTTAAGTAAGAATGAACCAAGTTAACTTGCATCGAGTTGACACACACACACACACACACAAACACGTACGTACGTACAGGGCTTGTCTGGTCAAGTCTTCGACGGCTTACACATTCTCCAGCTTTTCCAAGTAGCAAAGTACTCTATGCTAATAACACGTCCAAGTTAACATTTAAAAGAAACAAACACGTCGTGTTGCTTTTAAAATTCTACTATATAACTGCTAAGCACACACTTTTCTGCATTTTACGTTACTTGTTTGAAGAGTAATGTTAATCCGAAACTTTGTGTTTGAATAGTCTTTGCAAACTGTAAACTAGCAAACCGAGTAAGGTTATGCATTTCAAGTCTGTACACTGAGATTCCCCTGCTCCAGAACCGTCGGATTAAACATGACATTGTACAATTACACATCGGTGTTGCAAACATAATAAAAACCTACCTCATTCTCCAAATGCCCCATCGGCAACTTCTGCCAGGGGTCTGCACACTGCGCCAGTGGCATCTTCAGGACCCGATCTTTAACTTACGGTCGCCCCGTGAAGTGATTTGACGGTCTGTCAGTCTGTGTAAAGTTGCTCAGAAAGAGTCCCACAAAGAGAATGATTCTTATCTCACCCGTAATTCAATCGCGGATTATGTTCAAACGCTTAAAGGGAAGCTTTTAACTACTAACGCGTCCGGTTCCTCTTCGCAAACATTCAGAATATGTTTTTAACAAGGGAATAATACACTTCCGTTTTCGCTCAACATGGCGTCTTCGCCCCGTTCACCTGTCTGTCAGAACGAGGCTGGATATACGTCATCGTACGTCATAAAGTGGGGGGCTCCGTAGCCACCCACTGACACCTTCACTGGACAGTTGTACTCAGGTAAAATCAAACTTGAAGGAATTATTCTTAATATAATTAGGTTTAATACATTAAAATGTATTGTTGTACTGCGTTTAGATTCGATTCGATAACTCTGATGCATCCTTGGTCCTCTTTTTTTGCTTGCACAGCAACTACATGCTTAAATCAATTTGTGTTTTAATAGAAAAACACACATCACACTCACTCTTTTTTGCAAATGAAGTGCACAATCAATAAAAAACACTGCAGAGGGAGGGAAATCACAACACCAGACTGATAAATACTCATCCAGCAGTGTCAGAGGGCTTAGAATAAAGCTGATTTGAGCAGGATTGGGTTTTATTTTCGCTCCCTTTTTGATCAGACCCAGTTCATTTGTGACCCATATTTCCAAAGCGTTTTTGTAATCATGCATTACACAGGAAGGACACAAGGCTCTCCTACAATTGAAAAGCTCATTTCTTGTTCACATTCTACATTAAATTACCTTGCGTTTCTGTTATTAAATTTAATACATGATTAAATGTGAAGTATTAAGTATGCTTCAGTGAAAACATAAAGAGAATCCGGACACTGAAAGAATGCATTTCATTTAGAATTGCATACATTAATGCAAATATATGACAATTTGCTGCAGTTGTTGTTATGTAAGTGATAAAATGTGTTATTTTAATTTAAAAGTAGAATATCTGATAGGAATTAAGTTGAATGTATGAATGCATTTGATTTTTATTGCAGTACATCAAACAAACTGTATTTGTGTGAAGAAGTATCTTAATTTAAAATAAATGTTATTTGAATAAATTTTAAAGAGCCTCTATTATGCATTATAAAGGGTCAAATTTTGGCTTTGGGGGTCTCCAACAACAGGCTGACATGCATGCAAGGTCAAAAACACTTTCATTGTCTTAAAATATGCATTTATTTTACCTAATTATCCCAACAACTCCCGTATGATTCATTCAGCGATTAATTTGTTCCCAAACCCCTCCATTGCATGAAGCTAATCTGCTGTGATTTGTCCGATGACCCAGTCTGTTGTGATTGGTCGACTGCGTTCAGCATGAGACAGAGAAAAACACCCACCACGGTTATAAAGTAGCACACAGATTATGTGAGTCCAATGCAGGACCACAATTAAGCAATGCAGTTAAACACCGGCATAATACTCTACTCCTAACCCTAACCTCAAGTAATAACAACAACGCACATTCAGTATTAATCCATGCACAAACTATTGTGAAAAATGTGAGGAACAGCTGATGGTGGCCATAGCAAAGACAAACGGCAGAGGATGGCGAGTTAAGAAACGCATTTAAACCAGTGAAGGAAGAAGCATGTGCCGCAATTTTTACATAGTTTCGAATGCAATATGTGAATAGAAATAAAGATTTACCCTGCAGAGACACACTGATAAATAATAGATAAGCGAGTACAAGTCGCTTATCTATTATACACACTATTAAATACATATTTTGCAAACTACAGAAAGTGAGGCAAAAGAAAGCCAACACAATTCATTTATTCGACTCCTGAATCAACTATTTTGTTGAAAAATCAATAGTTTTAAGTTAAACAGTTTTTTTTTTTTTCACATTTAACCCTAGGCTGGATGTTTTCATTCACTAAGTGCTGTATTACACATTGCATAGAAGCTCATTTTAAAAAATGGGGCTCTTTAAAATGTAATTTGTTTAATTTTTTAGCATCAGGGTTTAGTGTCACAAAATCTTTCAGTAATCATTCTAAATGCTGATTTGTTGCTTTAGTAAGATTCTTGAACGTGACGGGAATTACACAAACCCAATCTTAAACGTTTAATGCATGTTGTTATAGTAACATATTTAAAGGCTAAGTTGTACTAGAAAAGTCTGCAGTTTGTAACAAATAAGATGAAACAGTTTGTATTATAGAGCTCACTGTATCCGATCTTAAACTATTTCTTAATAATTTTCTTAAACAGCAGAAGATAATATACAAGCACCTAATCACAACAAAAAAAGCATTGGAATTATTTATTTGTAGTTGTATGTTATAAAGACCACATTGAACACATACATTGCCTGATCTTCTTGACTTTCCATCCTATTCGATACAACATAAAAGGTTAAACCTGCGATTCCCACTTTTACCCTCCCAACAGCAAAATAACATCCTACTCCAACATTTATTACATTCCCAATTCAGAGAGATTTTAAACAAACATTAAAAACAACCATTAATACACGGAAATCGCAGAATTTTAAGATATATCCCCAGTAACATTGCTTGTAACAAAAACTTTTTCATAATAAATATGTGAAGAAAAAACCCCGGTTTTAAATAAATGCCCTAGAGAGTGAAGGGAATGGTGAGAATCAAATAACAGTTTCCCATTCCATAACCACATTTTAGCTTTATTTGAAATCTTATGAATTAAAATTGATTTTTAAAACCCTTTACAGCCTATAAATGAATCGAGTTGGTATAGTTTTATGATACCACAAAAAAACACAAACTTTTCCTGTAGTATGGCCACAATGATTTACATTTTAACTGTTAATAAACACTTCCCTTTAAATGTTTTGTAAAGCTAAAACTGCAAGGCTGCGTTTCACCAACACCTTGGCTAAAACACACATAAGCACACACACACACACTTCTGCGGATATATAAAGCTGTGAATGTGTGAGCGCATGCATGTCTGAGTGGACAAAGTAAATATTCTGCCATTGTGTGGATGTTGTAGAGGTACTGGAAACATTTGGAAAGTACCAATAATTACAAGCCAAGTCCTGCCGTGTTTATTCACATATTACTGTACATGCTCTTTGCAATAGATGATGTAAAATAAATTGAGGGTTAGTGTTGTAACTGATGAAGACAAGAAAACAAGGCAATGATCAAATGTGAAATGAGGCAACTTTTCTCAATGTGGCTGGGAGATTTGGCTGAGTTTCCCCAATAACTGTCTCTGAAACCTATAGCCACACTGGGGAGGATTTTTATCTGTGCGTTTTAATAGGAGAGGGTCCAACCAGTAGGAAGAGGAGGATGAAGGAGATTTAGCTGATGGACTTGAGTTTGGACCAGGGGTTGGTGCCACGCACTTCCAAAGGAGGGTCATTGTAGAAAATGTGGTTGCAAAGATCCTCCAGCGGAGGCTCAGGGTCTGTGGTGGCAAACTGAGCTGCGTCTTCAATCTCTTTCCTTACCTCCACATCAATCTCCTGCAAAAGGTGTCAGCATTTAGTGAAACTGCACAATCCAATGATTCATTCTTTTTTTATATATATATTTTTTAAGTAGAATAAAGTAATCCCTCCATTATAGTAATAAAGCATGCACTAACTCTATGACTGCCTTTGACATTTTCTAATTTAGTGCAACACTTTTATTGTCAGCTTTTTATTCTTAGAGGCCATTCACACAGAAAACATCTTTGCATCCAAAAACTTGCAATGGCTTTAAAGGAAATGTAGTCTAGAGCACTAAAAGAAGTACAGGGTAGAGAAGTAGTGTAAAACACAAGGGTTTTTGGACACAGCTACTGAACTACAGTATAAAGGAGCTTGCGATGCTTGACCCTCTGAGATCTTCGATTCGGTACACTGCCTAGGAACTGACATTGATAAGTGGAGCTACTTGTAAGAGTTTACATGGTTTACATTACGTAATTTTGTTTTTTAATTTTAATATTATATAGCATTATATATTATATGTATTGTAAAATAAACCATGCTAAAATAAACTGCTAGTAAAACTAATTCGAATTCCAAATTGAATACAACTTTCAGGTCTTTCAATGAAAACAAAAAGACTTTATATTGTGTTTTTTATTATGATTTTTTATAGTCAAGATCTAAGTGATTTCTTTTTTACATTTCATCATTAAGAAGGTTTGATGGTAGATTTGCTTGTAGACATTAGTTTTGTTGTATTTTCAGTAAGGCAGAACCTCTTAATTGAGATCGCTAAACTACAAATTACATGGTTGCCAATGTTTTTAGATCATCAGCATTGTTTGTGTATTGTAGTCTGTGAGCATGTGCAAATGGTAGCCAAGTAAGGACAGGAAAAGTGTTTAAGGAGGCTTTGATAAAAGTATTACTATAAACTATTATGAGCTACATGTTTTTTTCTACTGGTTATATTGTGTTTGAGGAAAATATAGAGAATTGGTGATTATTAATCATTTTTGATTGAAATTACTTAAGATATTAGATATCATTTTAGATTTAAGATATAGATATTTCACTGTTGTCTACTTTTTCAATATAGCTCATTGATAAAGTTACAGTTGGTGTTTAATGATGTCTGTGTTAGATATTTGTCTAATCATGGAAAAATCATCCAATTGTTTTTGTCAGTTTCCATGAATCAAGTGAACAGCAGTTTGCTGTGTACATCTAAATGGCTGTCTCTTGTTTTTTTTTTCTAGGAAGCTTGTGCAGTCTGACCTTCAGTTCCTCCACACTGGCCATGTTGTTGCTCAGCATGCGATCCTTCAGCAACGAGATAGGGTCGCTCTTGCTGCGCACCTCCTGGATCTCCTCACGTGTGCGGTAGCTATAGAGACGGTGGATGAGGAGAGAAAATCACATATGAGCATGAACAGAAAAAAAGCATCAGTTACATTAAGTTTTACTGATGTATCCAAATCTAAAAATATTTGGATATATATGAAAAAAGCATCTTGTGGAAGACTTCTAAAACCTGTAATTGAAGGAATAATTTATATGTTTTAATACAATAACATTCCTCTATATAAAATGACCTGTGAACCTTTAAACAAAAGAAAACTCTAAACAATTTTTTTTTTATCTTCAAGTTAACTTTTTTGAAAATGACCCAAACAATTTTGACCCGCCAGATATAAAGCCATTTTTACACAACAAACACTACAGGCACACACACATGCACACTCTTAGTGAAATAAATGCAGCCTTTGTGAGCATAAAAGGCTTCTTTCAAAGACTCCTAAAAACCTAACTTTAACGATATCTTTACCCAGATATAGTGTTTTAGAAACAAAAACAAATGCATTTTAATTACTAAACCATTATAGCACATATGTGGTTGAATCTGCTAATTAAACATAATCCAGGAAAAGCTGACTGCATGAAGCAACACCAGTGAGCTTTGGTTAAGATTTCAGAAGACATTACCTGACTCCTGGGTCGCTCATACTGTGTCCATGATAACGATAGGTCTGCAGTTCCATCAGAATAGGACCCTGGAATTATCCATATAATTATTGAGATTCAAAAAGAGATATCCAAATAATAAACCTTCTAATATAACTATAAGATGTGCAATATTAGAAACAAGAGTTAATATAGAGGAATTCTAATAGGCTTCATCACATAGTCAGTGCTTTCGGGCTATCAAGACATGTTTTTGTTTGTTTTCTGCAGCGAGTTATATTTCTAAAAATCTCAGCTGGCACATCATTAAAATAATATTATTGTACACAATTAATCTCACACACCCCTACTTTATATCAATATTTTACATATCTATATCACTCACCTTTCCTGATCTGCAGTGTTCAGCAGCAAATTTGGTGGCCTCCCTCACACAAAGAACATCCATGCCATCCACCTACAAAACCAGAAAGCAGGTAAAAAAACATTCTGGCCAATTTCAGTGATATATTTATATTGTGACAAAAGAAAGAAAACTTGCAAATTTCCTTCCAGCATCATACCCTCAATCCAGGGATAAAATCGCCTCTTTTGTAGTAGTCAGTACTAGCGGCCGCTCTCTCCACAGAAGTACCCATGCCGTATTTGTTGTTCTCACAAATGAAGATGCACGGCAGCTTCCACAGAGATGCCATATTATACGTTTCAAAGATCTGACCCTGCAGAAACAGTGCAAAAATGTACAAATCTTAACCGGAGAACAGTAAATCTAATATTAAAGTGTCTCTGTTATGGCTTTTTGAAAATTACCTTTCATGCAAGTGTAACAAAGCTTTCGGGGATCACCAAACTTGATCCTGGTGGTCTGGTGTCCAGCAGATTTTAGCTTTAACCCTAATCAAACACACCTGAACAAGCTAATCAAGAGCTGCGTCCCAAATCACATACTTATGCACTATTCTACGCCATTTTGTAGTATAAATAGTGTAAGTAGTGTGTTCACACTGAAAACTCTTAAAATAATAAGTGCACTTTAATTACCCGGATGATGCACTCATTCAGCTGCTAAAATGAAGTGTGTAATGATGGACACTTCACGCACTCAACGACCGCAGGTTTGCTTAAGTAGCGGAAGAGGCGGAGCTATCGGACGCACATGTTGGATAACTTTATTTATTTTGGATGGAGAAATCAAAATTCTCCTACGAGAGTGATTATAACACCTCCGGATGGTGAATGCGGCTATACTCACGATAGGTATTATTTGATAATTCGGTCGTTTATTTCACTGATTTGGCAACCGTCAAACGTCATCAGGGAAACGGTTTGAATTTCCGTTTAGTAAAAAAACATTAGTGTGCCATTTGGGACAACACTACATACATGTACTATCCTGTTGAGTGTTTAAGTGCATAAGTACATAGTGCATGAGTGCATAGTGTATAGTGTGCCATTTGGGACGCAGCTAAGGTCTTACTGGGTATACTTGAAACACCCAGGCCGGAGTGTTTAGGCAAGTTGGAGCTAAACCCTGCAGGGCACCAGACCTCCAGGAACGGGATTGGTGACCCCTGCTCTATATGGATGAAAACATCCAACTGAGATTTAAATTTAAGTATTTTTACAACATATTCATTCATTCATTTTCTTGTCGGCTTAGTCCCTTTATTAATCCGGGGTCACCACAGCGGAATGAACCGCCAACTTATGCAGCAAGCTTATCCAGCCACAACCCATCTCTGGCAAATGGTTCCATTATCTATTCATGTACATATTTATAAACACAGTGGGCTGAAATATATTTTATAAATATGAATTTTGGATGCGATTAATCAAGATTAATCATTTGACAGCACTAAAGACAATGAAAGTGTTTTATCAGCCTGTTGTCGGTGACTCCCAAAACCAAAATATAATCTTTTACAATCCCAGATCTGTGTTAAAGAGTTATTAATAAGTAGCTATATCAGTCATTAGGATGAATTACCTGATTAGCAGCACCATCACCATAGAGACAAACACACAGCTCATTCTTGCCCTGGTATTTGCAGGCCAACGCTACACCCGCCCCAAGAGGCACCTGTGAAAAGATGAATAAATTAGCAAGGTGTATCAGCTCTATTCTAAACTCGGACTCGAATAGATTCACTTAAAATACCTGAGCTCCCACAATTCCATTTCCTCCATAGAAATGTTTAGTGTACATGTGCATTGACCCTCCCTTTCCTTTGGCAATACCTCCTCTACGACCTGATGGAGAAAAGTTATATTAACAAATAAATTATTAGTAGAAAGACAATAACTAAAGAAAAAAGAGAAATAGAAAATAAAACGTATAACAAAGACCAAAAAAAAGAATGCAGAATAATCACTGGCTTTTGAAAACCATTGAACGATATTTATCAGTTTTGCTGTTCTTACCAGTCAGCTCAGCCATGATCTCCCGAACGGTGCCTCCTCTGGTGAGTGTGTACCCGTGGGCACGGTAGGCTGTGATGAGATGATCTGATAGATTAATACCCGCCTCAATACCCACGGCACACGCTTCCTGTTAGAGGACACAATGCACTTAGAAATGTTTGGTCTCTTTTTGAGATTGTTTGTTTTTTTATTTGTTCATTTATTTTATGGCATGACAAATATAGATAAATACATACAACAATCAATACATCGATACAGACAACTTCATAATTCCCACTAGATTGTCAAAGAATTATACATGGCGGCACTCCAGACATTCATTTCTATTCGGCTTACACCTGTTTCACACCGAACGCAAAAGCAGTGCGTGAGCAGCGCGTGAGCAGAGCAGAGCAGTGCGTATGGAGAGCAGAAGCAGCACGCAGGTGTTTGCCTTTCACACGCAGCTCTTCGGCAGCTGCTGCAGAGATCAATCAATCTATCTCTCTCTCTCTCTCTCTCTCTCTCTCTCTCTCTCTCTCTCTCTCTCTCTCTCTCTCTCTCTATATATATATATATATATATATATATACACACACATATATATATATATATACACATATATATATATATATATATATATATATATATATATATATATATATATATATATATATATATATATATATACATACACATACAAATACACCTTTTAAAAAAAAAAAAAAAAAAAAAAAAACCTTTTATCTGCACTAAGGCCCACAGCAACCTCCTCCTGTGCTGTTTCTTCAACCTGCAAGTCTTTTTTTTAGAAAGTATATATATCATACAGTACTGTCTGCTTCCCAAACTCTATGAGGAGCGTCATTCATGTCTGGTGCACTCAGAAGACAATCGCCTGTGACATCATGTCATTTGGTTTTTGATTGTCAGGATGTTTTAGACCTAGTTATAATAATATTTATACAAAATAGTTATAATGATACTGATACATGATTAAACTAGTTTTACTTTCTCCGCTTCCAGTAATGTCCAGCAGCAGAGTAACAGCTCGTGCAAAAGATAAGACGGACAAAAGTATGCATGCACTTTTTTTACTTATTTTAGGGTTGTCAGGTTCACAGTGCAACTTGAGTGAACATAAAACAAAGCAGAATAAAACTTTCTTCCTCTGCTTCAGCTGTACAGCACACAGCGAGCTCACATCATCCAGCATGCGTGTCGAACTATACACTTTGCTATGGACTACAACTCCTATTTCCCCTCTCCTGCAACACTAGCGTGCAGCCTAAGCAAAACTGATACTAAAATTGTTTTACATTTGGTTTTGTAATTTGGGCCTAAATAAATGTTTGTTGCAGTTTTAAATCATTTAAGTTCATTTGATCGACTATATACAAATCAGTTGATATTATTAACGCATTTATTGGGTAAAATTCCTACTTTTTTTCTGTCATTCAATGTGTTTTGGTCATTATCAATGCACTGTCACTTTGAGTGTGAAGGCTGATTTATACTTCTGCGTCAAACACCGGCGTATGCTACGGCGCTGACGCATAGCCCATCGCCGTGGCCGTCGCCGTCACTGACGTGCACCTCTCAAAAATTGTAACTACACGTCGCAACAACGCGTAGCGCAAGCTCTGTGATTGGTCGGCTTGCTAGCGCCGACGAGTCTGGGCGGGACCGAGAGCCGCGCGAATGGGGCGAGCGATTGTTTACAAGTGTGGAGTCCCGTGAAGGAGCTCCGGATGGAAAGTTTTGTTTTGTTTACCTCATGGTTAAAGTTGTTGCACGTCCGCCGGTTCCTGCCTCAAAATGAGCGAGTTTGAGTCACTTGTACATCCAGGAAGTGTTCAGAATAGCAAAACAGAAGCGAAGAAACTCGACACAGAGGAACATTTACACCTCACTGCCCATTAGCGTTTCGGAAGTGTTAATGCAGACCAACGGAGACAGCGCGCAGAAGTATAAATGAACAGCCACGCGCGTTGCCTGCGCCGTGAGTTGCGCCGGTCACTTGACGCAGAAGTATAAACCAGGCTTGAGCAGCGCAGCAAAAATAGACCCAGCGCCGAAACTATCGCGGCACTGCTGCTTCAGCGATGCTCACGCCTCGCTTTGACACACTGCTGCTGCGTGCGGAATTAAAGCTCTAAGCTGTTAACATGGACGCCTAAAAAACACGTGCTGCTGACGCTTGCGGTGTGAAACAGGCTTTTAGTCTCTTTATTTTTTATGTTTTATGCAGCGGATGCCCTTCCAGCTGCAACCATCACTGGGAAACACCCATGCACTCTTATTCGCACACATACACTACGGCCAATTTAGTTTATTCAATTCACTCATAGCGCATGTCTTTGGACTTGTGGGGGAAACCAGAGCACCCGGAGGAAACCCACACCAACAAGAGGAGAACATGCAAACTCCACAAAGAAATGCCAACTGACCCAGCCGAGTGTCGAACCAGCGACCTTCTTGCTGTGAGGCAACAGTGCTACCCACTGCGCCTCCATGTCACCCCACTTTAGACATTTAAATAAGAAATTTGAATAATGTTGAACTACTCGTAATGATGAAATCACTTTGTTTGCAATGTGTTTGTCACCTGTCCATCATAAAGGTGACAGAAGCCCCTGATGATCTTCTGCTTGTACAGCTGATCAGCTTTGAGCTCCATGCGCCTCATGGTCTGCATTGTTCGGTAGTATTGAAGGCCTTCTTCTCTGGTTAGCACTGCCTGCACTGCTGGGCCCTCTTCCAGCTTGTGCACGTCACATTTCTACAAGAACAAGCACATTTTCATGCTTTCAAATACATGATGATACAATAAGATGCTCATTACTTTACAATTTATAATAAAAAATGTAATATAAATAAAACACTGTGATGCATTGAATTACAAAAATCATTTTGTATTTGAATGTGCTGATAGCCTAATAAAATATTACTCCAGTAAAAGTGGAAAGTACTGCTTTTTGTTTAACTTAAGTAAAAGTGCTTAATTTTCTTGGTTATACCCAAATAGTAGCTCAGTATGACCATCATTATAAACTAATACAAATTGTCAAGTATTCTGTAGACCTTTAGTTTGTATCAATGCATGTAATGATGCAAATTTATTACAAAATCTTGTCAAACACTCATAGGTACTACTGATAACTGTTGATAAGTCAAATCAGAAAAATAATATACTTTATGATAAAAGAAATTATGAAAAACAAATGTTGACAAAGATTAACATACACTAAAATAATACAAAGTAAAAAGTATTAAAATAAATAATACTAAGGCAAAATTAGTTAAGAAACATATAGTAACAGATTAAAAATACTTTGCTACTGTCCACTGTTTATAGGACAGCTTTACTTATTTATTTTTTTACTTCAAATACCACTTTTGATCAATTCAATGAATCCTTTCTGAATTAAATTGTTTATTTTGTTCAAAAGAACTGACTTTATACTTTAGAGCAATAGTGTATATGCAATAAAATATATATTACATAATACTTCTTATCTGATAGAACTCACCTTAATATCAAAGGTGGCCTGAGGGGTAAAGTCTGCATATGTCCTGGCAGATACCACAATCCTGGCACCCTAGGAAGAATACATAAAACATTTAAAAAAAGAAATTAAATTATACTAAAATGGTTTTAAAAAAATTGACCAGAGAGAAGATGACAACCAAAAAAAAAACGATGCATGGAAAAACATGTCTGACATAAACCCTACAGTGCTCTATCTAAATCAGGAAGCAAGCCCGGGAAAATAAAATATATCTCTAATAATCTAACCTGCATTTCAAGTGTAATTGTATTCAAAACCCTATCAATATACCCCGCAGTTTAATTACAATAAATCAACCCACAGGCCTAGATGTGACACATGAAACTGACACAGCACATGGCGTCATCGACACTCTGTGTGCAGATTTCTTAAGAAGAAGAGGAATCCATCCACAATTAGATGCAGGACCAACATGCTAGTGACACCAACCAAAGCATTGTGAGTTGGAAAAAAACCTCTGAATATGTGAGTTCTCTGGGTAAAGTTGAAGAGCCATGCAATATTCCATGAAGGAGGGTTAAAAGGACATTAAGCTGGGTATATATATAAGAGAGACAGTGTATAGTTTTAACATAGGGGCTGCCAGTACTCACAGCAAGCTGTGGCTCTGGTAAGGGAGTCCCTTCAGCCTGGCTGTGCGTAATCTCTGGGAAGGATTTATCAAGTCCCAGGAGGCTCCCGGATGGTGAGGGACTAAGGGACATAATGGGGTCTGTGCTGGTAATGTTGGAACTGCTGTTAGCTACTGCAGGGATTAACTGATTTGGGCTGGAGACTGGGTTAATAGGTGACTTATAATGTGTAAATTGTCCAGTGGATGCAGGAACACCTGTAGTGTTATTTTTTTCTATTGTTGGAATAGTTTTTGTAACAGAAGGATCTACGTTTAATTGTTCTAAGATGGATGAACCATAGGTCACCACTGGTTCTATGCAAGTTATTTTTGAAGCTACCGCCTCTGAAGAAATAGCATCTGTCAGAGGTCTGTCGGGTGGTCCTGATTGTCCTGAAGACTGGCCACTGGTGGTGTGTATTAAAGATTTGTATTCTACAGGTGGTGTCTGTGTTAATAGAGGGGAAACTGAAGGGCTTTGGCACTGTGTCGAGTATGGAGGGGGGTCAGGATCATGGTCGTGTGGAGCGGTCAAATTTGCATATTCACTCTGGACCGCCAGAAGCTGCAGAACGGCCTGGAGAGTGGAGGACTGCAAACAGAAGGGCACAGGTCACTCCGGAGGGTCAGACTCAGCCAGCCATAAAAATGGAGTGTTTACAGATCAGGGATAGGAACGAGATCTTTAGGTGTCTACAGTCCACAAATAAGACATTTTTCTGCACTAAACCAATACAATTCTAATCTATATTAACCTACACTAAGCTACTCACAGACAATAAACAAGAAGTGATGGCTACCTGCACTGAAATAAATGTACAAGAGCTTTCATGGGGCTGTACCTTTTAAAAAAAAGGTTTACATTTGTCCTTTTTGAGGATTTATATCAGTAATCGAAATCAACATTCAGAACATATAATTGATATAATTTTTCCAAGTCAATTTTTTATTACTTTCCCTACGGTGTGTGGAGTCGCGTGACACCACTCTTTTAAGGCTGATTTATACTTCTGCGTGGAGTGCACACGTATGGTCCGGCGCAGCCTTTGTACGGTTACATACCCCTCCCCATTGCTGACGCTGACACGCACCTCTCAAAAAACATAACTATGCGTTGCAATGATGCATAGTCTAAGCTCTGTGATTGATCAGCTTGGTATTGTTGATGAGTGTGGGCAGGGCTGAGAGCCACAGGCAGCAAGCCCATTGAAGCGAGTGTTTATAAGTGATGAGTTATTTTATTTAGAAGAGATACTGATTATTTTCTACTTTAAATATGGAAAACACTGAAAAAAATATTTGTTTCCAAGTTATTAATTTTCACTTTTATATAAAAAAAAGAGTGACTGTTTGATTTAGGCAATGTGTGTTTTAATTTCAGTTGTTCAACGTTGATGTTCAATAAATAATCATAGCTAGTAGATGGTATGATTCTTTTAGTTATTATAAAATCAAGCAATGCACCCTTCATTCAGAAATCTCTCTCTTGTAATATGCGAGCATATTTACTGTAGAAAACTTTCAGAGAACTGTCGGCGCCAAAAGCCTAGTGGTTAAGTGTGCTGATATATAGCACCATGGTGCTCACAGCGACCCGAGTTTGATTCCCGACTCAAGGTCCTTTGCCGACTACTCCCCTCTCTCTGCTATAAAACTTTCCTGTCTGCAACCTCTACTGTCCTTTACAAATAAAGGTGACAACCCCCTAAAATAATTATATTTTTAAAAAAAAAGCTTTTAGTGAACTAAAAAAAGAATTAATAAATAAACTAAATAATTGTTCATTAATCGTAATCGAGTTAAAATGTTCAATTAATCAAGATTTTGATTTTAGGCCAAATCGCTCAGCCCTAATTTATATGTACCTTTAAAATACCAATTTGTACCATCTTGGTACAAATGTTTACCATTTGAAAGCAGCTCTCATACTTTTATTCCTGAGACTGCATCAGGTCACATCAAAAATTACATCAAAATGGCCAACATCTAGCATACAGTGTGCCCAATAAACAATATAATGCTGATACCTACACAATAGTGATCCCCCCATATTTCGACAATGTAAAACATTTAGTCCAAAAAGCAGCTTTATTTTTCAGGCAGAAATGATTTTGAAGGACCATAATTTTTGACGAAAGCAGTGGTGTAGCACAAATTTGACTTTTCAGTGTTCAATTCGTGGCATGGGTAAATAAAGCAGAATTATTCCCTTCACACCAACAACACAGCAAAATTAAAAAACACACAATAAGCAATAAGTAAAAAGAATGTAGTAAAGGCGTGAGACGACAAAGCCAAACAAGTGATTTGCAAGAAAGAGAAGATGATAAATGAAAAGATGACCCAAAAATAATAAGCCTTTTTTAAATTAAATAAGTACAAGCAAAAATAATTCAGATCATAAGAACAGAAAAGGTGCAGATGGCACAGATGCCACATCAATAAACCCAGTTCTAAAACTACCATCTCTTACCTCTGATACCAGTTCGGCTCCCTTTAAGGCAGCCCATGTAACAGTAAACAGTAAATGATAAAGAGAGAGAGAGCGAGAGAGAGAGAGAATTAGTAAAGAGAAAGATGTTGATTGAGTGAGAAAGAGTACCATTAATGTTTATACTGCTATTTTATTCTGCTATGCACAATGCTTAGGCAGTAATACATACCCAAGTATGTCATGCCAATATAGAGAATTGAATTAAATTAAACTTGAGATACAGTTGATGAAAGGTGATTCGTCATCATGAAAAGAAAGTCTTGTTCTGCAAAATTCCTAATTATATTATGTCAACATATCTTTAATTATCAGACTTCTGTGTACAGAGAAAAGTAACTCTCTAAAAGGAAAAACAGAATGGAGCAAATGTCATGGTCAGATCAGAAAGAATGGAACAGACTTCCATTGTTTTGATGCTTAAATCCACCTAACATCATTGGCCCATATAATATATATTTAACTGAAAAGACTAAGTAAAACAAAATAACTGGAAAAAGACTAATGAGAAATAAAACAGAACATCAGTCATCTGGAAATCTGCCTCTGCTCGTAATGAAATACAGAGACTACTGAGGTCACCTTTTATTTACCATTTACTCTTATTTTATTACAACTACTTTTCAAAGCCAACTTTTTTATGAGCAGACTCAAATCTATATTGTTGTAACGTTTTCTTACAGGTCAGTTGAAAGACAGCGTAATGACAAACCAGCTGTAGATGTTTGCGTTAACATCCCAGTGAATGTTCAGCTAGCTAGCCAAGCTAAATCTCTTTAGCATGAGTGACCAATCTAACTACATTTACATCTGTAACGAAAATAAATGCTACACTGATTGACGTGTAATAAACAGCACCAACATGAGAATTTAAGATCAGTAACGTTAGATTTAACAGGGTGTCAGCCGGGCCTTGGCTGCAAGGTCAACATGGCATGACTGCGCTTCGTTAGCCGTCAAAACAGACGTAATTTTGGATTTAATACAAGAAGCGATGGTGTTATTATTTACTTATGAAAATATACTTACGTTCCTGCTGGCGCCGCCCCTCAGAACGTTAGAAATTATGGTTAGCATCTTTCTCATGCTATTAACCCACAGCTAACCAGAAAAGTGATCTCCTTCGGTCCACTCACAGAACCAGCCCAGCTAGCGAGGTTTACAGCTGCTGCAGATTCGCCGTGCATTCCTCTGGAAATACTGCCCTCTGCTGGCCGGAGAACACACTGCATCTGCCTCTCTCCTGTTTGAGGGACATGAAGAAATGTCTTGATTCAAACTGGAATGATCCACAGGGAATGCTAATTTGTGCGTGCTAATTAAAGCATTTCATTTTAAATATTAACATCTCAAGAAATTTTCAAGTAGAAATGACAGTTTGTCATAGTTAACAAAATGCAGGTACTTTTTTCTTTTGTCAAGCATTGAAAGTATAGTATTTCACTCCAAAAAATGAACACTTTCTTTATATTAATTCTCCCTGATCTAAATTGAAAGTCTCCAAAGGCTCCCTGTTTTAAGAGATGGTTGAATGAGCTGCTTTATGTCATTCAAATGGAACGACTAAGTCTTGAAACTTCACAGAAAAAACCTAAAACCACAAGAAGACATATTTTAAGACTTGGGAATCTAGCATTTTACCTTTGCAAATTCTCATCTCTAACTCATATATTCATGACACTGACTTTGTAAAAACGTGAATACTGTCATCTTTTTAAAATATGTTTATGCTACATATGTCATATATATATATATATATATATATATATATATATGTATGTATATTTGGTAACTGAGACGATCCCTGCCCTTTTTTTTTTTGAGGGGGTGAAGGGCTAATGTCAATTATTTTGTATTATTATAATTTTTTTCTTTTTATTAAAGTACGGTTTTTGTTACATATCTTATAAAAAATGTTAAATAAAACAATATATTACAAAACAAAATTATTCTCCCTCATGTGTTTTTTAGGTCTTTATGAGCTTAATTCTGTCTTCTGTTGAACACAAAATATTAAAAATTGAACAGTATTTATGGTATAAGTATAGGTAGATGGTTTACTGTTGCATAGCTCTTTGTTTTTCTTATACTCTATTGTTATTTGTACATTTCGGCACAGACGTCCTGCAAGACACAACATTTCATTCCACTACATGTCCACCTACAGCAGAACAACAATCAACTCGCCTTAACTTGAAAAGTAATTTATGTCTGAAAGAAACATGCACACAAAGAGTAACAGTAAAACATGACACATATATATCATAAATCAGCATATGATAATGCAGCATAAAAGTGCCTGAATATATAAAAGTGACTGGCTAGTTGACCAAAAATGGAATTAAGTTCAAATAAAGATCATTTAAACTAAAACTAGTGGCGACGCAGTAGGTAGTATAGTCTTCTCACAGTAAGAAGGTCACTGGTTTAAGCCTCGGCTGGGTCAGTTGGGGTTTCTGTGTGGAGTTTGCATGTTCTCTCTGTGTTCGCGTATAGGTTTGCGGTACAGGTGAATTGGGTCAGCTAAATTGTCCGTAGTGTATGATTGTGAATGAATGTGTATGGATGTTTTCCAGAGATGGGTTGCAGCCCTGGAAGGGCATCCGCTGTGTAAAAAATATGCTGGATAAGTTGGCGGTTCATTCCGCTGTGGCGACCCCAGATTAATAAAAAGGACTAAGCCGAAAAGAAAATTAATGAATGATGTACTGTACATCTGCACTCTCAGAAATAAAGGTACAGGAGCTGTCACTGGGGCAGTTTGTACCCAAAAACTCCACAGTGGTACCTCAAAAGGTGCATTTTAGTGCCCAAATGTACCTAAAAAGTACCTTTGAGGTACCATTATGAACGCTTCAGGGACAAATATGTATCTTTAGAAAAGGTATTGCCGATTAATAAAGGGACTATGCTGAAAAAGAAAATGAATGAATGAATAAACTAAAAATAAGGAAGGCAGGGGTGCTAAAATAAATAATTACAAATTAAATTATTTATATCTTAAAATAATAACATTTAATTTTATTTTAATATTTGCTGCATTTGTTTTGGGGTAATATTACGGAAGTATTGTACCTGATGTAATAGTCATCAGCTAAAAGTAAAATAAAAATAATGGGTATTTTTTAAAAGCTTATGGCTTATTCAAATCTTATTCAAAGAGTTATATAAACAAAGTAGGCCTTACACACATAAAACAATCATGACGTAATACAATTATAACAGCAGATACAGGCGGGAAAACAACGTATGGTAGAGACAATTGTACATTAAAAATAAAAATAAGTTAGGAAATAAATAACATTAAAATAAATTATTAATTTTTTTTTACAAATATAAACCTTGCATTGTGAGACTATAAGGGTACAAAATACACTGAAAAGTAGCTACTTTAGTAGTGTTTAAGCCATAATAAATAAAGTATCAAATAGAAGGGTTTCAAAAAGTTTAAAAAAAAACCTACATTTATGAATTAAGAATTTTGCAAAGCATAAAATGTTATTGACCAGGTAATGCTGTGTACAATCTTCTTTAGTTACACTATTTTTTTCAAAAGCTTTTTTCATGATATGTGACATGTCACATGACGTCTTTATTGTAAAACAATACAATATGCTAAAAAAACTTTTAAACTTTTATTTTAATAGCTCGTCCTATTGACTCGGCCTTAGGTAAGATGTAAACGAATGTCATCTGTCATAAACTATATTTGATTTAAATCCCCCTGTCCTAGTCTGACTTTGCCCCGCTTCACTAAGGACGCGTTTGTTGTTTCTCGGAAGTGACGAAACCAAAGTACCGATGGCGGCTCACAGTTTGCTCCCGGACATGCACTAAAACGAATTTGATGGCGTCCGATTGGACTTTTTGCACACTTGGCCGATTGACTGAGGTCTTGAGATTAACATAGAAACCGTCGAGCACAAGGGTCGTCAATCCGAGGAGGGATCGTTTGTTGCAGAGCTCGTCAGATCCACAGCTAGCAGCCTTGCCAGTGAAATACAAGTACAGCTAGCCTGTGATCGCAGAGGTTTGTTTGTGTGCGTGGCTGCACACTTTTGACACCTTTGACATTTTTGCAGTTTTGTGACACTGGCTGGTCCAAGTGCAACAGAGCCTTTGCTTGTCTGTAGTTTCCCCAGCGGCGTTTGCTTTACTTTACAAACAGAGAAGCGGCGGGAAGTGGTTAGCCGACCCGATTAGCTATAGCCGCACACTTCGGCTCTTCTCTTCATCTCTGCGGATGGTGAGAGTGTTTTCTATGATTGCGCCGATCATCGACTGTCAGCATGTTGAAGACTCGTCAGTGTCTACTGGGGATTCGCACCTTCCTCGGAGTGACGTCTAGAATATGGAGTTTCTTTTTATACATCCTCAGGAAGCATCTACGAACGGTGAGCAGCACATCAACATCTGTCTGGGTGAACGCGAGATCATGTTTTCACTATATTTCTTCCTGTCATCTGTAAACAATGTCGTTTTACTTCATTTGACAGTGCATGTCTTCAATTAATATACGAATAACTGGGTTTGAATCACATAATGACGTTGATTTAGATGTATATGAGTGATAAATGTCATGCAATACTTCTTAAAAGTAGCACGTTTTATTGTGTTGATTGGGGAGCTGTTAGTCAATCAAGAATCTATTTACAAAGCTGTCCATTATGCACATTTTAAGACCCTCAGTGCTAAAAGGCCAGTGTAGCATCTGTAATAAATAACTTGGTATTATGAAAATGTGAGTGTTTAAGATTGGTATATTTTTTTTTTATGATAAGTTAGCAGTTTGTGATGTTTTAGAAATGTTTAGTGAAACTTTTGGCCTTTGTAACCTGTGTGTTTATGATGCTGTATGTCATTGTTCTCGTTACATTGAACTCTGGACCCTTCTTATATGTTTGTTTGTGACACAGAAGCAAAACTATCACTTGTTTTGATAGAGGAAACCAAGCCGTATTCCTAGTTTCACGGTGTTCTTTTTTATTCTTCAGGTATCCTTTTTTAAAAATAAGTATCAACCATATGTAAAGTGACACACGGTGTGGACCAAACGTGACACACACTGATATTTCAGTATATCTGATATTGAATTATAGATTAGAACGAAGACAAAAAAAAAGTTTTATGATTTGAAAAGAGTCAAAAAGGATATTAACGTGCAAGTCATAGAAATGGAGAAATAACTTTGTTTGGTGCTCGGTTATTTTCTATTTCAAAAGAGGTAAACAATATATATTTTTAGTTTCAGTGTTACAAGTTCTTCGCTGAAATTTTGTACATTTTATTCATGGAGCCACACTTATATCCCTATATCTCTGGAAATAAACCATACAGCACCTTTGAAACGTTTTTTAAAATCCAAAAGCATGAAAAGGAAAATAAAACACAAGGAATGTACTAATACACTTACTAATTTCGGTATAAAATCATTATCATGCTCACATTTATTTAAAAGTACCCCCCTCCACCTCCAGATATCAGGTGAAAAATGACATTTTGAACTCCATCTCATAAGTTTACAAAAAGTATGACATTTTTTAGCTTTCATTACCTTTTATTTTTCATTTGTCCGAAGCCTCTGGTTTAGTTGACATTAAATTACCGTACATTGTTTTTATTTACATCAAATATTGTTGTGTGTGTTGCTAAAAAATACTTTCTTACAACAAATATAATACTTATAAATACTTACAATTTTCTGTTTTTAAAACAGTCTACAATTTTTGCACCATTTAAATTAGTGCTTCCATATAACTAAGGGGCTTCTCTGGAAAAACAACTCAACATGACCTTGGGTTGTTTTATATAACTACCTGAACCAACAAAAGTGTTGTTGAGTGTTAAACTAAGCCTGATTAAACAGTCCGTTGTGGTTTTATTGCTCCTAATTCTGCTGCCCTTCCTATTGTGAGTTTCCAAATGTATCGGTGCTACTTCAAAAGTTTCTGATTTTTATTTATAAGTTTTATCTTAAATGCATAAAAAGGTTTGCATTGAAAATCTAAATGTAGGTACTAGAAGTACACAGATTTTTCTACTTGTCTTTAACTTTGACTTCTTTGAACAGCTGTTTTGGTGGTTTATTAATAGTCGTGACAGTATGGGGCCAACTGGGTGGGTGACTATATAGTTCTCTGCTACATGATGCCTCCATCAGAGTTTTGCACTTGGGCTCAAAGATGAAGAAATTGATCATGAAAAGTCCTAAAGCTATTCATTCATTCATTTTCTTTTTGGCTTAGTCTTTTTATTAATCAGGGGTCGCCACAGTGGATTGAACTGCCCCCTTGAACTATATAGGATCTTAATATAGTCTGTGTGTATTTTGGGAGAAATGACAATGCAATCTTGTATGCATCATTGACACTGTATTTGTTCTGTCTTCTACAGATAATCCAGTACCAAACAGTGCGTTATGACATATTACCTCTCTCCCCCATTTCCAGAAACAGACTCAGTAAGTTCAGTCTCTTTTTTTCATGTGTTATTTTCAGTTCTGTCCACTAGGAGAACTTCTAACCACACAGTTGAAGGCTGAAAGTTGCAAACTGATTTGAAGTCATTTGTGACACCAAATGTTTTGTAAACCAATCACTGTCAACAAACATTGTTTTTATTTTAAAAGATTGTTATACTTAAACTGATTTTGGGAAGCACTATTTAAAATATTAAATATTATGTTGGAAAAGACTTTGTGACCAAAGTTCATCACACAAAAAGTAAATAGTCGACATTGCTTTAAAGAGAAGTGAGTAAACTCGTTGCTTTTAAAGCAGTGAATTGACTTTGCTTGAAAAAAGTGAGTAAACCTGTCACCTTAAAATTAAGGAAAATAACTGTTTATTTATAGAAATGAAGTCTACTTGATAGTTCTAAGTTGCAGCACATTTACTCGCTTTTTTTAAGTCAACTTGTTGTTTTAAGGCAATATATGAAGAGTTTAGATGGAAAAACCTCTGAAAGCCATCTGAAGTTTTCCTCCAAAATGAGTATTTTTATCAGTCTTCTGTGTGTATGTTCGGTAATATCACTTTTGTGGCAAAGAAAAAGTCCTTTTCCTGGTATTAATAGTAAAACATCTCAACATTAACAAAGGAGGCTGAGAAAAATGTTAATCTTTGATGGAAATTTCAGATGGCACAGATGTTTTTGCATCTGAACCATTCATATATATACTCACTACTTTTTAAGTAACTAATCACTTTTAACAGTGTATTAATAGTGTGCTACTATTTTGAATCAAGCTAAGAATACATTTCAATACTAGAGAGACGGATCATTGTTTAAAGAGTATGTTGTATTTTTTGATGTCGATTCACCACTTCGCTATGTTTTTGATAAATGTTTTGACTGTTTGCTTTAGATGCGGTGAAGAGGAAGATCTTGGTGTTGGATCTGGATGAGACTTTGATTCATTCTCACCATGATGGTGTCCTTAGACCCACAGTAAGGCCGGGAACACCACCAGACTTTATCCTCAAGGTACAAACACACTGCTCCATCAATAGAATGTAGAAGTTTAATTGGTATTTTTAATAACTGCTTTTTGACAAATGCATGTTTTATTTCACTGTTCTTTTACTGTCCTGTCCATTTATTAATATTAATAATAATAATAATAATAATAATACATTGTTTATCATATGCTTTTCTTAAACTTAAAGCGCTACAAGATATTCAATAACAAATAAAAAATACAGAGAATTACAAGCATTGAGCTTTGCATTAAATCCCAGTAAGAAGCCAGAGGTCACACCACAATGCTAAAACAATAAAGAACAAATAAAATAAAAGATTTGCCAAAAAGATGTGTCTTGAAGTTTCTTAAAACGATCCAAAGAAATGACATTCCAAATAATTATGGGTAATGCATTCCGTAATTTAGGCGCACGTTAAGAAAAAGCCCTACCTAAGATACAAGATGTGCAGCACCTGAAACTACGGATACTGGAAGCCTGTGTTGGCATTTCTCCTGCGGTGTTGCTATAAGTGTGTGAAGAGTGGGAGAAGAGGGTTGCATTGTCAATCCAACACAATGGGCAGCACATTGAACACATTATATAAGTGGTCAGAAACTTGTAAATAACTCATGAAAGAATAAAGTTACGTTAAAACCAAGCACACAATTGTTTTCTTGTGAAATTCCCAATAAGTTTGATGTGTCAAATGACCCTCTTCCTATTGACAAAACAAAAGTTGGATCCAAGATGGCCGACTTCAAAATGGCCACTATGATTACCACCCATCTTAAAGTTTGCCCCCTCACATATACTAATGTGACACAAACAGGACGTTAATATCACCAACCAGTCCCGTTTTATTAAGGTGTATCCAGGGCCGGAGCAAGCTGAACTGCCGCTCTAGGCAGAGGACGATCATGCCGCCCTCAACCCCAATGTGAAAACGAAAGTGACCGGTTATGAAAATGAAGTAAGGTGTCGAGGACCTCTTTTCCAGCGCACTATGCGCGGATATAACTGAGGACGCGTGGGTGCTGAGGGAGGGCGGGAGGCCCTGGGTGTATCCATATAAATAGGCTACCCTGTGGATTAAAGCTAATGCAATTTTTAATGCGCATTTTATAATTATTATTTTTAGGGGTTTCACTTTTATTGGTATAGGACATTGGAGATTTTACAGACAGAAAAGTGTGGGGAGACGAGATAGGGAAATATCGGCAAAGGACCTCGAGCCGGGAACCAAACTCGGGTCGCTGTGTGCACCTTGATGCTATGTGTCAACGCACTAACCACAAGGCTATTGGCTTCAACTTTAATGTGCATTTTGTCAGTAAAGCTTGTTCTCGTAAACCTCCAGCATGTTTACCACACAGTCATAGTTTACTGCACAAATATCCGTTTTAAAATCTAATTTAAATTATTTTGTCAATAATGACTGCGAGATAGCCGATCTGTGATGATGACAGCTGTTTTTGTAGCTTTTTAATGAACTACAGCTCTGTCTAGTAAATGCTGCATATAAAATGACCACATATATATATTACCATGGTTTTACTCCAAACTCACCCCGTAATTTCAGTCAAATGTGTCAATTAAATCCTTCTGTGAGGTGGTTCTATAGTCATGTGTTAATTAGTCACACTGAATTAATGAAAGCAGTCAAATCTTCTGTTTATAATGCAATGCCTTGGGGATTTCCTAAGCATTTGGAGTGTCCATGTGAGAGCGCCCTCTGGCCTTCGGAGGACATTTACTGCTAATCAAATTGTGCTTCCCTGACAATATGTGCATGACAGTTACAGCTTTGCTCAATTGTGTTTGCAATTTCAATTTAATGACACACCCAGTCCCGATTAAAGCTCATGGTTCATTCTTCAACTTTTTGTTTACTCACTTTTGATTACATTTTTTCTTTCTCTTGTTCAGGTGGTAATAGACAAACACCCAGTCAGGTTTTTTGTCCATAAAAGGCCACATGTTGATTTCTTTTTAGAAGTGGTAAGTGATCTCTCATTCTGGCAGATTACCAAACAAATAACATGTTCTATCATTTATTAATTGTTTTGACTTGCATTTGCATTGTGCACAAGTATTACTTTTGATAAAACTCCCCAATTTTCTAATAAGTACGTCTTTGTTTTCTTTTGTTTTCAACTGTCAGGTTAGTCAGTGGTATGAGTTGGTAGTATTTACAGCTAGCATGGAGATATATGGATCAGCCGTAGCAGATAAGCTGGATAACAACAGAGGCATCCTCAAAAGAAGATACTATAGACAGGTAAAACCCGCCGGCCTCACGTTTATACTTTTAAATTGTATTTTATAATCTTAAAACATGACATTTGTTAATCGATCTTGCCTGGGAAATAGCTTTTTAATTTCTAATTGTTTTATTACTGAACTCATCTTTCTTTTTTCCGCCGTTCGCAGCACTGCACTTTGGATCTAGGGAGCTACATTAAAGATCTGTCTGTAGTACACAGTGACCTCTCCAGTATAGTTATTTTGGATAACTCACCAGGAGCTTATCGAAGTCACCCAGGTACAATTTTTTTTTTTAAACAGGCAACTTTAATTTTCTACAGTTGATAGTAAAGGTGTTTTGTTTCTGTCCGTGTGCAATTTAAAATATATATAATTTTATCCCCAGACAATGCAATACCTATAAAGTCTTGGTTCAGTGACCCAAGTGACACGGCACTTCTTAACCTGCTCCCGATGTTGGACGCATTGAGGTATGAGCAACATCTAAAATTATGATCATAGTAGCTTTTTAACCCTTATGTCCTGTTGGGGATGTTTTCATCCACTCTAGGGTGATTTTGAGTCTCATTTTGGCCATAACTTTTTCTGTGTTTCAGCTATCAGAATGGTGACAAATCCTATGTAGATGCATATTTTGAGAAATCCTTTGAATTAAAAAAAAACAACAACAACAACAACAATACACTCTGGGCAAATGTTTGGGATGAAAACATCCACTGTAATGTAAACTACTGTAAAACTGCATCAGATCAGTTTTATTTTACCTCTGCTTGAATCTGTTCGTCAACCTCAGTCCTGATCAAAACTACTAAAAATTTAAGGATTTGAACTCTTAAATTGCCAAATTTATAAATGAAGTCACAGATTTGGTGGAAAGTATACACAAAATGATGTGTTTTCAGTATAAAAAGTAATTGTGAACTGGATTTTATTAACCTTTTGTAAGTCTTGAACATGTGAAACAACATTGCTTTTGATGCATTGTTTTTGATTGATTTTCATTTTTTTCTCTCTAGTTTACTGTTTGTGGCTGTTTTTGCCTCATTGACTTCCATTATAATCACACTCTTTTGATTAAAAAACCATGACCACATATAATCTTGCATGGTGGTTTTCCTATTGGGAAAATGTAACGTTTGTAATTTTTACTGTTGATCATTAGTTGGCACCATTAACCCATACATAGGCCTGTGTAAAAAAAAAAAAAAGCTTAGTTTCTGGATTTTATATGGAGTATGACTGCAAATTGAAGTGTGTGTAAGAGTGTGAGAATGACCTTTACCTTGATGTGTCTGAGAAAATCAAAATATGCATCTCAGCTCTCAGAACTACATGGATTAAACAAAAACGAAGACTGTGTATTTATTCACCATCAGGTTATGGAAGTCAATTGTGCAAAAGCAGCCACCAATAGTAAATTCTTATTTCATAAATAGTAAACACGTCTTATTTTGATCGTAATGGAATAATGTGCACCTTTTTTGAAGCTGCTTTGTAACAATAATTATTGTGATTATACAAATTGAATTGAATTGAACTTGAAAATAACATATTGTTTGGTGTACACTTTTCGACAAAAGTCTTGTTGTCGATCCCAATTGTAAGTGCAGCAAATAATAACTTCTAGTTGATCATTTGAAAAAGTGGCAGAAGGAAAAAAAAATTTTCAGATGAAACATCTACATCCCAATCATCACAAATACTGCAGAAGACCTATTGAAACCCACATAGATCCAAGATTCTCATAGAAATCAGTCAAGTTTGATGAAGGAAAAATCATGGTTTGAGGTTACATTCAGTTTGGGGGCATCAACATCAACAGCCTGAGGTATCAAGACAGTTGTGCTGCCCATTACAATACAAACCACAGGAGAAGGCAGATTCTTCAGCAGAAGAGTGCTCCTCATACTTCAGCCTCAAAGTTCCTAAAAGCAAAGAGGTTCAAGGTGCTCCAGGATTGGCCAGCCCAGTCACCAAAAATGAACATTATTGAGCATGTGTGGGGTAAAATAGAGGAGACACTGAAGATGAATCCAAAGAATCTTATTGAACTCTGGGTCCAGCAAGAACGCCTTTAATAAGTTATTTGAGTCATTGCAGAGATGTATGGATGCAGTCCTACAAGCTCATGGGAGTCATACACTATATATATATATTTTTTTTTTCACTGCACCATGACTTTAAATTCTGTACGGTACATTATTTCTGTTAAGTGACAAGACTTTTGTCTTAGCAAAGTCAGACCTTACTGTCCTATATAAATAGTTAAAAATCAAGTCATGATCACATTTTATTTTGGTAAAATAAGCGTAATCTAGAGGCCTTTGCCTTTCATATAAACCACTTCTGATACCAAATGATCAACTAGAAGTCAAGTTATTTGTTTTTCTTAAAACTTGGATAGGCGTCAATATGTTTTTCAGGTAGATTTTATTGTAGTTAATATTATATTTATTTTATTTGAATTAAACTTAAAACTGTTATAAAATAGGAATTTTAGAATTAGTAAGTATAAAGCAAGCAATAAATTACTATACAGACAAGTTTTGGGATTTTTATTTTGTTTGTTTTATGTTGCTGTTTTAGTAAACTAACTTCACAGCACTTTCATTCTCATTTCTAGGTTTACCTCAGATGTTCGCTCCGTCCTCAGTCGAAATCTTCACCAGCACCGGCTCTGGTGATCCTATCTGTCAGGACCAGTTTCTCTTCTGGTCACCGTCTTGATTTTACATGGCTCTGCCCGCTAGGTGTTAACCTCTCCTGCGCTGGAGTTTCAGCCTCTCGTCATCATTTGAGCTCCCATCAGTCATAAGGACTCCTCTGAGAAGACATGGGAGGACAGAAAGGAGAATAAGAGAAGAAACTATTACAAATGAACTCAACGAATCGAGAGGCATTTTTCTTGTATTTCTTTCCATAAAAAACGGAACCTCTGCCTTACGGTTGTTGGATTCAACGTGTGCATGTTGGAGTATTTCTGAATTGGGGAGAATGTGTCTGATTGCAACTTTACCCTTCATTTATCAGGGTAAATGAAGAATCATTTAATGGTTTATAACTACCAGTCAGTTTCCACAAATCATTAGCACTTCCGCAGTGTCTTTTGTCTTTTAAGTTACGTATGACCTTAGCACAAATGGTCGTTTCCACTCATTCTCTCTTAAAGCTTCTGTCCTTTTCTCTCTCTTTTTTTTTTTTCTTTTTCAGTCGGCCATCTCAGGTATCTGGCCTCTTCTCTGTGTCAAGAGCTGAGAGCAGTTAATACCGTTGTACTAATAGTATGCTGTGGTAGAGATAACTGTAAGGTCAGCAAGAGTGAAAACTACAGTCCATTATTACAGCTCATGGTATTAATTTTCTGTGTATTTTTAAATGGCTCATGTGGAGCCTCTGGTTAAAGCTGAGAGGTTTTATCTTCTATTTCAAGGACAGATTTTTTAGATGCTCTTCGATGTGGATACATCAGCCGCTGTGAAAGAGAGAGAGAGACACTGAGCAACAAGGACTCTGCTATAACAGAAATAAAATGGAGCCTTTTGTCAACAACCGACCTCACAGTCTCTTGCACTTTTTTGTGGAGTATGCTGTTTTATTTTTAGATTCTGGTTAATGCCTGCAGACTGAATACAATACACAATCAGTTTCAAAAGTTTGCATCTTTGTACTTTACACAGAGATGTAAAAAGTATTGTTCTCAAAACTGGTTTTGCTAGTTTTTACAATTTCGGGCCCCCTAAATGTAAACGCTGTTGTGTAAATAAGTGGGGGGAAAATGCAACTCATTCATTTGTAAGGTCAAAACTCTGAAGTTTTCATTCATGAATGTTTTTTTGATCCATTTTTTTTTTTTTTTTTTGCTTAAACCTTGCACCTTTTTACCTTGCACCTTTGCAAGCAGCTGAAACTTCCATTTAGATCTGCTTCCATTAAGTCACACGTACATTTCTTTCTCAGTTAGCTGGTTTCCCCGGAATGTACATAATACAGTCAAAAGTATGGGTCAATATTGGAATCGCATAATTTTAACGTCACTGTGAAGAATATTGCAGTTTATTATAAAAGATTTATCCATATATATATAATTTATATATATATATATATATATATATATATATATATATATATATACATACACACACACATATACCTTACGTAATGATTTCCACATGAGCAAAATCCAGTCCCATAATACTTTCTCAAGAAATAATTTCTCTTGCATAAACTGTCACAATAGAGAACTTCCTGTTTATGCTTATTTCTGTTCTATAGAGTTTTTTGGAGTTTCTTTGGAGTTTTGATATATATATATATACACACACACACACACACAGTTGAAGTCAGAATTATTATTCCCTCTTTGAATTTTGTTTTATTTTTTTTATATTTCCCAAATGATGTTTAACAGAGCAAGGAAATTTTCACAGTAGGGGGAATAAACGAGGGCTAATAATTCAGTGGGACTGAATTGAAGTCAGAATTATTAGCCCCTCTGTTTGTTTTTTTCCCAATTTCTGTTTAATGGAGAGAAGATTTTTTTTCAAAGCATTTCTAATCATAATAGTTTTAAATAACTCATTTCTAATTACTGATTTATTTTATCTTTGTCATGATGACAGTAAATAATATTTGTCTAGATATTTTTCAAGACACTTCTACACAGCCTAAAGTGACATTTAAAGGCTTAACTGGGTTAATTAGGTTAACTAGGCAGGTTTTGGTAATTAGGCAAGTCAATGTATAACTACTATCGACTAGACTATGTAGACTATCGAAAAAAATATCTAGCTTAAAGGGGCTAATAATTTTGACCTTAAAATGTTGTTTAAAAAGTGAAAAACTGCTTTTGTTCCAGCTAAAATAAAACTAATAAGACTTTTTCTGGAAAGAAAACATATTCAAACACTGTAAAAGTTGCTTTGCTCTGTTAAACATCATTTCTGACTTCTATATATTCTTGTTCCCTTATTTGTTAAATTTACATGATGATTTCCACATGTACAAAATCGAGTCCCATGGTATTTTCTTAAGAAGTCATTTGACTTGCATAAACTGTCACATTAGGGAACTTGTTTATGCGGAGTTCAGTATTCAAGATTTTAATGTGAGACTGTTAGTAAAGAGGTTCTTTAGAGCGTCAGTATGTCTTTCAGCATTATACACACAGACATTCAATTTTTATACACAGGTTCACACTGGTTTTCAGCTAAGAGTGCCAGAAACTGAATAGGCTTTTGACTGCAACATTTAGACTACAGTTAAACAGGATCTGGTATTCTTTATTATGTGCAAAACTAATTTCTGTCAAACATAATTAGTGTGAGAAGGATTTATTCAGCTGTTCAGTCTGCTTTTGTTACTAGAGTAATGTCAAGCATCTCCATCTCATCTGTGGTTAAAATCTGACTTAAAACCAGATCAAGTTTAAGGGGATAGTTAAACCAAATATTAGAATTCTCTCATCATTCACATACCTCTTATTCTCTTGGTGTTTCTTACATTTACTGAGCAAAAAGATAACATTTTGTAGAACATTATTTTACCTGGGTTACAATAAAAAATCAGTAGTCCTCGAATTCCAAAGTATTAATTCCCTATTATGTATGCCAGGGTCCACTGGTTTTCAGCATTCTTCAAAATATCTTCTTTTTTTTCAACTGAAACAAAGAAACATAAATATTTGGAAGCACTTAAGGGTGAGAATATTTTAATTTATAAATGAACCATTACTGTGCACTGCATTCAAACAGAATCGAACTGCTAATCACCAAAAACTATCTCGCATGTTAGTTTTGTTCATGGCTTGTCTTGGGGAGAAATAAAATAAAAGGAAGTAGCTAAATGTGTGTCATTCTAATTGTGTAATCGGTTTTTTGTGCTTGGTTACAAGCTGGTTGTTGGAGAAGCAACACTGCAGGACTGCAACTCAAATGACACTTGCAAAATTAAACTGGAGGAAAAATATAGGTCACAGTGATCATTAACTGTTTGTCTGTACACAAGAGATGATCAAGTTGATTTTGAGCTGACTTTTGGATGTCTTTTAGGTCATGACGAGCAAGTGTCCTCAAGAACAATTAAACTTTTTTTTTATGAAGCAAAGTTTTGTATTTTTTATACAAGTAGCCTACTATGGTTAAGATAGCAAGTGTAGCACAACCATATTGCATTTGTGGTTACCGTGGTTTAACAAAACTATTTTTTTGGATTTTTGGTGGAATCATATTTAATTTTTGTGAGGTGTCAATTTATGATCTCCAACCACCTGCTTGTGCACTTCAACACCATAGGCTACTTTTGCCTGACAGAATTTACTCTAATTTACTCTAATAGAATTTAATCTACTTTTTTCAGCGTTTACTTTCAGGTTTTGCCACGTAGTTATCCTGTCCCGACCACTTGGTCTGATGATCTTCAATACTGCTGATGTCATTACGCAGCTGACGTAACTTGACGTACGCCGCCTCCCTTGTTCCTTGTATATCCCTCCGCCCTCCGACGCAGTTGTCAAAAAACCCTGATCTAGTTTGTAAACACTACCGACGGCAGGTTTTCTTGGAGATTTTGAAGATCTCCCAAACCTTGACAATGAAGTTTATGTACAAAGAAGAGCATCCCTTCGAGAAGCGACGGTCCGAGGGGGAAAAAATCAGAAAGAAGTACCCGGACAGAGTGCCTGTAAGTCAGACAAATGAGTTGTTTTTGTTGGGCCCTGCGCTCACAGATAATATAGACCTAACGTTACCGACGAATTACACCGTGACAACGCTGATTTATAATGTTAAATCTTATGAAAATGGCGTATTCGATTAAAAAACGTGATGTAATCCCTATATTTGTTTAATAGATTGTTGTTTTGAAGCTGTCCTTCATGGAACAACTAGCGTTAGCGTCAGTTAACGTTAGCGTTTGGAAATAGTGGCATCGTTTAAACTACTGTGAATAGAATATATATATATATATATATATATATATATATATATATATATATATATATATATATATATATACACACACACACACGTTTAATGATACTAACGTCACATATTAATGTGTTAAACGTACAAAAACATGAACTGCTTTGCATAACATTTAATTATTGAAATGAGCTGTGCATGTTTTGACTGGGCTGAAAACAAAATGAGTAACGTTATTCATTAAAAATACAGGGTTTTCTGACACGATACCATGTGGCCTCACACCAGTTTATTTTTCAGTTGCATTATGTGTCGTCAGTACAAATATCAGCAGCAAATCTAGGGGAATACCCATTACTCATGTTATTATAGCACTGAAAGTTGCTGTTGTTTTCACTTGACTGGCACATTGTTTTCAGCACTGATTTGTTTTCTGCAGGTTATTGTTGAAAAAGCTCCCAAAGCCAGAATAGGAGATCTGGACAAAAAGAAATACCTCGTCCCGTCTGACCTCACAGGTTAGTTTGTTAAAAAACTGCATAAACTTTTGTATAATTTTTAAGGGTATTAAAATATGAAAATATGTTTTGACACTTTTTTTCATTATTTCTGAAGTTGGGCAGTTCTACTTCCTTATTCGAAAAAGGATCCACTTGAGGGCTGAAGATGCCCTGTTCTTCTTTGTCAACAATGTCATTCCTCCCACATCAGCCACTATGGGACTGCTCTACCAGGTACACACCTCGTACCCTTTGTGATAACGAACTTGATTATTTGTTTGTTACAGCTTACCCCTTTGCTACACGTATGCTTTCATAAGATAATTAAGCATTCCTCTTTGTTTCTCTTTTAGGAGCATCACGAAGAAGACTTTTTCCTTTACATTGCCTACAGTGATGAAAGCGTGTATGGGGATGTTTTGAAAGACGTGTAACCAATTTGCTCCACATTACCAGTCTTTAAAATAAAATGATCAATACGTTAGGCTACTTGAGGTGTACATGTTGAATGCACTTTCATATCCCCCTCCTAGTCTGTTTATGAAATCTTGTTTGTACTCCATGCTGCCTGCATTTTGTTCTTTTCGGTTTAAGAATTTCCCCCTTCAGTCTTGCTTTACTAAGACAGACCTAGAAAAATCTTAGCTTTGGTCCGTTTCAGTAAATTTTAGTGGGTTTCATATCCATAAAGGCTCTTTCAATGTTTTACACTTCTCCTTTCACTTTTCCTCATTTTTACTCCGCACCGCCATGCATCATGCAGTTGTGCTACTGCAGTCTATTTAGTTTTTTTTTAGCCACCCTATTTGCACAGACCAAAATCATTTATAATACTGGACTATCATACCATGTAAAGTGTGAATGTGTGTTTGTGTACTGTTGCCAATTATTATTTTAAAACAGGTTAAGATTGCTGTTTATTTGAATAAACTGTTTAAAAGGTTTCATTTCAGTTGATGTAGGAGATCGAATGTTTATTTGATTTTTATTATTATTATTATTAAGGTTCATGAGTTGATTGGCTTTTTTGCACATTTGTATTATGGATTGGTGTGTTTATTTTTTTCGTTTTTTTTTCCTAAAAGCTTTAATTGTAATGGCCACAAATCTTAAGCTTGTCACCATTATAAACCTGATGTGAAACAATATTTGCTTATGTGTGTCTTTGATGGTCTTTATTTTTTTCATTTTTTAAAATCGAGAGTATCTGCTGTGTGTCTTTTTTGTTGTTGTTTAAGAGATAAAAGCTTTTATATCAAATTAAGCATATGAAATTCATTATGTGTAGTACATCAAATGTACCTGTAGGATAAAACATTTTCCTTAATAGTCCCTTTATTTATCAGAGGTCACCACTGCGCAATGATCTGCCAACTTATCCAGCATATCTTTTCCGCAGCGCAAGCCCTTCCCAGTATTGGGAAACGCCCATAAACATTCACACACATACACTACGGCCAATTTAGCTTAATGAATTTACCTATAGCGCATGGACTGTGGGGGAAACCAGAGCACCTGAAGGAAACCCATGACAACACAGGGAGAACATGCTGCAAACTCCGCACAGAAATGCCAACGGATTCGGGACTCGAACCAGCCATCTTATTGCTGTGAGTGATAGTGCCAACCACTGAGCCACTGTGCGGCCTCAAGGTAAAACATACAAATGCAAATTGGATTTAGCTTAGATTTTCAAGCATAATTTAAACATTTCGCCATAATGATTCTGATGTATTAATTCCTGAGGAGAAGCAAAGGAGTAAAGCATTTTGTTTTGATGTATATGCATATACAGGGATGGATTTAACCAATAAAATGTAGAGATTGCATTACTTTAAAATGTTGAAAAGAAGAATGAGTGATTTAAAAAATACAGCAATATAAAATAAAATTTTATTAAAGTAGAAAGGGTTCATTTTAGGACTTTGGCCCTATGGCTGAAATTGCTTAGGGCCCCAAAATCACCAAATCTGCCCCTGTGCATATTTTGCGCAACACTAATAATAACATAAAAATTTAAAATAATAATATATTAAAATGTTTACAGATATTGTAGATGCTTTATGAACACAGCCAAGTTAAACAGCTGTAGTTGTAAAAAACATTTTACCGATTATAAGCATGATATGCCTAATTCAGGGATGGCCAAAGCTGGCCCACAGTAACCTAACATAATCTAATAAAATAAAATAGGAAATTATGGCTGCTTTAATGTCATATAATTTGCTATATTTACCTTCGGCCCACGGTTCTCAATGATATTTGGCTTTTGGCCCTTTACATGAAAAAGTTTGGGCCCTGATCTAATCACTGAACTGAAGAGAAAAACACGGTTTGTACCCCTTTTACTTGCCGTCATCAAGACACGCCCAGCGGAAGTGCGCCAAACTGGGTTTCCTGTCCTCCTTATTTTGGTTAAATACTGATATACTTGTTTATTTTTTCTTTACGGAAAGCCTTCAGACAAGCTCAGCATACTTTTAATCTCAGAAACGGACAAAAGTGCGTTATATGAAGATTCCAAGAGTTTCATTGCAAGAGTTTTTTTTTATTCAGTGCGCTGATTTTGCAAGCTAGCTGACTAAGCTGTTACTTGAGCCGTTAGCCTGTTAGCCTGATGGTCAAGGCTGCTAGCCTTATAGTCATGTGTTAATCGATTTTACTGTAAAAAGAAAATACTGAACTCACTTTCGCCTGTAAAAGTTTGTCTATTTTTTATCAATTATTTTCTTGAACATCTTGGCACAATCGATTATCGAAACATTAAGGTTACTGCAAGCATAGCCAGCTAGCTTGTTAAGTCGTTACAGAGCTAATAGGGAGTTTGCTGCATTTTATTGCTTCTCATTACCACATACCCTTTCTTTTAATTCACATTTTGCTCTAACTCGTAGTCTTTTGTTTTTAGAATTGATATGGTAAGTTGGTTTATTAAACAACGTCAGCAAGGCTTGTCAACTTTTTGACAGATGCCTTTAGTTTGTGTTTGTGACTTGTCAGCCTGAAACACTGTGAAATAACAAACTTAAATTGTGCTGTTCAGCAATAGTAATAATGTTAATAGGTCAGTTATGCGTTTAACACCTGTCATTTAGCAAGGTAAAATAACAAAATAATGAATTGTAGCTGGGGTAAGGGCACTAAAGTCCAAAATTATTTTTTGTGTTGAAAATATAGATGTTAATGCTTAACTGTAGGTTTTAAAATATGGAGTTTGTAATTTGTATAGACTATAGTATGATTTTTTTTTTTTTTTCCTCCTGCCATCTCTACTTCAGCTGGCACCACCAATCCCTACCATCATGCCGGCTCTTCTGGAGAGGCCCAAACTGTCTAATGCCATGGCACGTGCCTTACACAAGCACATCATGAGAGAGAGGGAGCGCAAGAGGCAAGGTGAGTCCTGGAGTCTGTTGTACAGGGTGTCCGCGGGGTCTTAAAATGTTTTAAAATTCAAAAAACTAATTTTAGGCTTTAAAACGTCTTAAATCCACTGAAATTTTTACTTGTATGTCTTCAATCATTTTAACAGGTTTTAATTTTCCATACAGTCACCAGCAATCCATCTCAAAAAACTTTTAACACTCTATTTATAAGACTATATACCAATAGGTTGTGTTCACTTGATGTCATTGATGACGTGTGAAATTCAGATGGAGGGCTGGAAGTGATTCTTCTATATAGGAATCGCTATCAGAACATACACATGTTTCTGTTTTATGTTGTTTATCATTGTTAAATTCGCTAAAATAAGAAATGCCGAACAGCCCTTCTTGACTTCCAAATATTTTAGCTCATGAAAAGGAAAAAGTTCAAGAAACTGGCTGATAAATGGAAGAAAAGACAGCATGTAATAATCATCCATGTGTACAAACTTTTCTTGAATGCAGTAATTCATTTGACAGCACCAATAAAGATTACTTACAGGTCTAGCTATGTGTATAAATATGTTAATGTGTTTTATTTAAATCAGATACAGACACCAATACACTTATACAAAATCCAGGAGAACATAAATAACGTAATTTGCCATGTAATCGATGTAATGAAATCTCCTTCATGTTTTGCAGTAATCAAAAGTCATTACTGGCATTTTGGTGGAATAAACAACTGTAACATAAACATTGAGATGCGCAGCAGCGGTTATTGTTTGTTGTTGTTAAGTTCATCGACTGAACAAAAAAAGAAATGCAACCCTTGCAACTGAACTAGACGGTTATTATTGTGAAGCACTTTTCCCCCTTTACAAAAATAAATGAATAATAATGTAGACAATGTGTCCACACTTTTGCATGCTTTCATTTGTTATTTCGTTATGTCTGGAAGATATCCGCATGAGGAAAAACTAGTAATTTATAATATGTTTTTGAACCACATATTGAAGTGTATAATGTGTATAACTCTTTTTTTTTAATGACTTCTACAGAATGCAGCAGCATAAGCTGTAATACTGTTAGTGTTAGCTGTGGTGTATTGTAATTATAGCGTAGAAAATTGAATCCTTTTGAATAATTTATTACTACAGTCGTGTTGTACCACAGAAACAATATTACTACAATAGTTTAATTCAAGTAATTGTCTATAGTATGCATCCAACACTATAGTACTTTACTACAGTATTTTTAATGTAACATAATTGTTATACACTATGTACCGCATCGATGACTGGCAAATAAATCAGTTCAGTGAAAACTGCCCTCTTCATGATGTAAGGATCATGCCTAACATATGTGGTTATTTTTGTATTTATATCTCCTTTGAAATATAGTATGCATCGCAAAAATACAAACTTTGTCTTCCAATCGTTTTTTTATTTCCTGCCCTCTATCTGATTTACGCGTGTCACCAGAACTACATGATTGAAAACAGCCTATATGATTTAAATATCTTCCTCGCAATAAGATTTGTACATTCTCCATGTGTTTATAGACCACATGTGGTGAGGACACATTCGTGACCAGACTGTTGTACATTTAGTTTATTACAGTTTTTTAGATAAGAAAAGTTATTTTTAAAAAGTGTATGTACACAACTAGGTAAAAATCTTAAAGGGTTTAGATGAGTCTGAACTAATAAGTCTGAAATTTCATCCGAATGGTCTTCAAAGGTCTTAATTTTGACTTGGTGAAACCTGTAGAAGCCCAGGTTGTATGTATACTTTTTTTTTTCTACAAATGTTAATATTAATCTTATACATGTACAGAGATAATCATTTGCATATGTTGCTAGTTCTACATTTCAAAGATTTTTTTTGCTCATAATTGTCTATTGTGTATCTCAGAGGAGGAAGAGGTTGACAAAATGATGGAACAGAAGTTAAAAGAAGAGGAGGAGAGGAAAAGGAAGAAGGAGATGGAGGAGAGGATGTCCTTAGAGGAGACTAAAGAGCAAGTAAGTCTGTATGATTGGCTCATTTAAACATTGGGAGTTATTTGCAGATATTGTTGCAGGATTATTGTTCAGGAGTCCTCAGCAAGCCTTAATTTCTTTTGTTCTGTCTTTAGATTATGAAGATGGGAGTGAAGCTGCAGGGCCTTCAAGAGGAGAAGCACCAGCTTTTCTTACAACTGAAAAAAGTTCTACATGAAGAGGAGAAAAGACGTCGGAAAGAACAGAGGTAAATATTTAAAAAAACACACACACACTATATACAGCTGTAGGCAAAATTATTAGCCCACTTGTGAAATTGGAATTGCTTTTTAAATATTTTCCAAGAGCTGTTTAATTTTCTCAAACACATTTTAAATCATAATAGTTTAATAACCAATTTAATGTTGTTTTGCCATGATTACAGTAAATACATTTTCACTAGTTATTTTGCTAAATACTTGTATTAATTCTAAAGTGCAATTTAAAGGCCTAACTAGGTTAATTAGGCAATTTGGCTTAAGTAGACAAGTCATTGGTAAACAGTGGTTTGTTCTGTAGCCAATAAAAACAACATTTTTAATAGCCTAATAGTATTGACCTTTTATTGAGAATATTGACCAGTTTGAATGTTTTAGTTTAATCCCAGTCAAACAAAAAAAAACTAAGACTTTCTCCAGAAGAAAAATATAATAGGAATTACTTTGAAAAATGTTTTTACTCTGTTTAACATCACTTGGGAGATACTTGTATAAGAATAAAGATTTCACTGGAGGGCAATTGAGAAAAAAATGTATATACATTTTCAGAGGAGAGCAAAGGAGAAAAAATAAGAGAACACTGAAATTTTTTTAAATTTTTTTATTGTATAGTTTTGCGTTTGAGTAAAATATGTAATTTTTGTTATATTTTGTGAACTGCTAGTGCTTTGGTTTGTATAAACAAAAAAGAAAGATGCCATATTTTCATACTACACATGTACTTTCAGACTACACAGTACCAGTGTTTTAACTTCAAGATAGATATGAAATCAGTACTTGGTGGAATAATCCATATTTACAATCACAAGAATTTAAGAATTTTAGTTTTAAAACAGCGTATGAGAATGAAAACGATCTGCATCTACACTGGCATTTCACCTAGCGTTTCTGAAATGATCCCCATCCACAGTTCACCTCTGAAAACATGCATCACATAACCACACACACTCTGCCATGCTCTGCAGCTTTTCAATTTTTCTATTTTAAACACAACAAACAAAACCTGTCGCACACATACATTTAGGTTGTATAAAAATATATAAATAATATTAAAATAAACTACTAACATTTTACTCTTATATAAAAGGAAAGAAAAGAAAAATAAATTAATAAAAAAATAACATGTTGGCGCAGCGGTGTAGTGGTTAGTGCGTCGACACATGCACTCCGGTGCTCGCGGCGACCCGGGTTCGATTCCGCCTTGCAGTCCTATGCCGATCCTTCCTCTCTCTCTGCTCCCTATGCTCTCTACTGTCCTATCAAAAAAATCAAGGTGAAAACCCTGAAAAAATTATTATATAAAAATAAATAAATAACATGGAAAGGTTCTAATCTTCTAAAATAATTCAAGTGTCCATCTTTCTTGTGATCTAAAACAGGTTAAACATTGGTTATTCTGAACTGTACTTTTCTGAAATTAAAAATGCTCTAAATCACTTTTTTAAACTGCAAGACATGTTACTTTTAAATGAATCAACCAAATAATATACAATTCTTTTGTTTGTTTACAGTGACATGACAACCCTGACTTCAGCCACATACCAGGCAAACATGCCTATCCACCCTAGCCAGCACATTCTTAGCATGCAAGGTGACCTTTATTTATCATCTTTAGTGTCATTTAGACTATTTGCTTTGTTTTATTTATTTTAAAATGCCATGACTTGATTTTGCTCCATGCTTGTTTCCCATCAGCGGGTCAGGTGAGTCATGGCCGTCCAGCTGTTCTGCTTGGGGAACGCAGTAAACAGCTCTTCCAGTCTCCGGTCATTCCTGTGAGTCAATGTAGCCTAAACTGTTTGTACCTGCAATGTTCAAACCTATATACATTTAGTATCGAGAGTCACCTGGTTCAGTTTAATCTCACAGTTGTTTTATGTTATTGTCGATCTGTGTGCTCATCTCCTACTGCTGCCCAAGGCACGTCATTTCCAGTCTCAGCCAGGATTTAGTGCAGGTGGATCAGAGCACGGCCAATATTCGGGAGCGCAGCCAGGTCACAGCCCGTATGGAGTCACCCAGACGCAGCATACATCACCTTTTGCCTCCAGTCAGCCTGTGCCAGCCAACTATGCCAGTAGTTCACAACTAAGAGGTGCCTTGCTTGTATTATTTATGTTTTTGTTGTTGTTTTATGAGAACATGGTATGAATTTGGGATGTTATGTCTTTCTGTTTTAAGGTGCATCAGCATTCCAGACCATGCAGTACCTGCCCCATCAGCAGCAAGGCTATGCAGTTCACAGTCACTTCACCTCTCAGCCAGGTGTGTGTATAGCAGAGGCTGGCAACCTTTTAGGCATCAAGTGGCTATCACTTTCTTACCTGGGTGTGGAATTTTGCATACCATTGTGAAGACCTTCTTTTATGTCTAGGGGTTTTGTTCGGAGGTGTTACAAAGAAGACTAAAATTGTTGGTAAATAACATTGAATTATAACAAAAAAAGGAAAACATGGAGAACACACTTCAATCTTCAGCCCCAGAGTAAAGAGTCAGCACAATGTTTTAGAAAAAATAAACAGCAGAATTTATTTAAAGGGGTGGTACGATGTCATACTTTAAACTTTAGTTGATGTGTGAACATAAACAACATCTCTGAATGAAATACACTGAAAGTTCAATGCAAAGGGGAGACATTGGCTTTTACAGAGTTAGCTTAGCAAAGCCTACAGCGAACAAAGTTTGAGGACTACAAAAAATACATCCAGGCTAGTGAGATCACAAACACTTCAGTTTACGCACCACTGCACTCTGCGCAGTGAAGGCACGTGGCCAAAGGCATTGTAATGTTATAGCAGAGAAAGCTAAAATGCCGTCCAAACACTGCTTTACCAGGCAGCTTGTTCTGTTCCTGTATTTGGGCTACTAAAGGACACGACACAAAGAGAGAAGTTCTTACAGTTTATTTTAATTATGTTCCAGAGAATTAAAAAAATATATAGCTAGCATTTGTGGGTTGCTTTGAATTGTTAGCCACAACCTGTAAGTGTTTTTATTTGTTAAAATTGATCAATTATATGCATTGTTTCAAGCGTTAAGGGTATGTTACAGCAAGAACGTAAACAAGGATGTAACAACAGGAAATGCTGTTTGGCATTATTAACTATTCAGCTACAAATTCATATTTTTCCATCAAACCGCTGTAAACACCCACAATTTTCAGCAGCGCTGCAGTGTCTTTCTATGCGGTGCTTTCCCTGCGTTCTACATCTGAATATGTGTGAAAGACACTTGTCAGATCTTACTTTAGAGAGCAGGTGTGAGGTTCAGCTGTCTTCTCTGTGTCATTTTCTGACTGATTCAGGCACAAACTGATGGACAGTATTTACACAGCTGAGGCAAAGTGCGTGCTTGTAGAGGTGTGACGCTTTTCCTGTTGACGTGGAGCCGATACACGAATCACAGCACATTATATTAGCTGACCAATCAGAGCCTCTTGAGGGCGGCCCTTTTGGAGGAGCTAGGAAATATGACAGTTGTTTTCATTTTAGCTGAGTAGCTGTATATAATCAAATTAAGATATATGAAAAAGTAACGTGATTTTCTACAAATGAAGCATGAGCACACATTGCTTTGCATTTTTATAAATGCATCCAAGCCTTAAAAATACACTCTGGACCACCTCTTTAATAGAGATATTGGAACTTTAACACAAACTGAATGCTAAACTGAGTGAGTATAGCCTAAAACAACAAACAAAAAGCAGCTCCAAAAATATCCATCATTTACAGCTTTTAAATCCTTTAACAAACTGCAATCAATGTTTCTATTGTTTATGTGGCAGTAATTCTGCAAATGGTGGCATGTGTGCCACAGGTTTATAAACCCTGCGCTACAGAATTCTTTTGAAATCAAATGTTTATTTAAATATTAGTTTGAAGTAAAATGATATTCAATGTTGCAGTTACAGCTTTAGGTACGTTACCTACACTAATGAAATGAAGCGTATGCAGATCACTTTAGAAATGAAAAATATGTCGTAAGACTAAAATAAAATTCTACACTCAGTTAAATTTTTTGACATTAATGTCAACATTTTAGCAGCAAGATTTAAATCATAATCTACAATCTTTATTTAGTTAGCAAGCTTATTGAAAGCAGTAAAACAAAAACTGGACCTACCCCCCAATTTAAAACATCTAAGGTCACTTTGGTTTGTTTTATGATTTTTTTTTTAAGTGTTAACCAGACCCTCCAGGATTTTGTGATTCCAAAATCTCTGCAAACCTAAAATCAAGCAAATGCCAAAGTTTTGAGAGTTTGAAGTTTGAGAATTCCAGCCATGCCAGAGCGTCATCTGCTTAGTCATTCAAAACAAACTAGGTCACGTGAGTTATATCACTCACTAAACTTTTACATATTATGTATATATGCATCCTGTTGTCATAGGAGTAGCCCTCCTCTCTCTCTCTCTCTTACACACACACAATGTTAAATGGGTGTAGGTGGGGAACTCAGTCAGTCTGTATTTTTAGGGGGTAATATTTCCTCTGTCAGTTTTTTGGCAGATAGCTACACAAACTCTTTTGTTTTCCATCTTTTTCTAGGCTACATCCCTAGCGCTGGGATTCCCCTTCAGAAACAGCTGGAACATGCTAACCAGCAGTCCGGCTTCACAGACTCTGTAAGTGGAGATGGTCAGGAAGTGCATTTCTTTCAAACTACGTCAACTCAGTGGAGGGATTCAGCTGTGTTTGTGTAATTAAATTAAAGCATGATTCCCATTGATGTTTTCAGAGTCCCCTGAGGCCCATGCACCCACAGGCTCTTCATGTCAGCGCTGCGAGTTTGCTGTCCACTCCTCCTATTGCTGTGCAGATTCCTCCTGGCAAGGTCAGAGCCACAACCACCGCATGAAATCTGTATTGCCACAGTCTTGATTTTGCAGCATTGGAGATATTAGGCTTTGCTGTACTATAATTGTTTTAATGTAAAGATGATTAAAATGGATGCTTTGTATTGCTTTTGTGGCCTGTTCAACATTTAAAAAAACCTTTGCTCTGTTCTTTTTTATAGTCTGGCATATCTTATACACATTCGCAAAGGCCAGCATCTCCAGGTGCATTTTCCCATGGAACGCCCTCACAGCAAGCACATGCAGTAAGTTTCTTTATACTATATCTTGTATTTATGTATATTTATACACTACTGTTTATAGAATAAGTGAGGTATTTTGATTCAGCAAGGTCACAGCAAATGGTTAAAGAAATAATTTATTACTATTTTAAAAAAAGGTTCCATTTTAAAACTTAAATGTAATGAATAAAACTATTCCTATTCTGTTTAAACAGAATTTTAAGTATGCATTACTCCAGTTCTTGTTGTTTTTTTATGTTTCGATATACATATACCTCTCTTTTATTTACTTTTTTTTTTACTTTGCCCATTGTCTCTACACCTTGAAAATATTACCAACCTCACAAGTTTGAATGATAGTATGTATGATATCTGACTGAGAAAGTCTAAATGTATAGTTTTTTTTTAATGAACCAATAATTGCTGGAAGAATTTAGTATTCCAGTGATGTACAGAGCTGTGCAAAAGTTTTAGGCCACTAGTATTTCCACAAAAAAGGTTTAAAATCTACCTGAAAAACTATGGGCAAATGTTTTAAATGCAAAGTTTTGTCATGCTTTAGTAATTAAGTTAATTGATAAAATGTACTTATGCATTATTTTTTGAAAGCATCCTCATTTTACAGTATTTTCACACACATGTACTGTTTGTGAAAATCTTAGAGCAACTTAGAGATCTTGCCAAAGTTCTTCTGAACTCAGTTTCTCTTAGTTTGTTCTGTTTCTCTGGAAGCCATTTAAGACAGACTGGATAATGATCAGATCAGATCTCTGTGTGGAGCACTGACTCTTAGCAGACTCCTTGTGTAGTCAATATTCTCCATGTGTAAATACAATTCATGAAAACAATAATATTTGGAAATGGAAATTGATTTTTCAAACTGACAAAAATATAGAAACAAATGACTTCTAGTATTTTTACAAAAAAAAAAAAAAAAAAGTTTAACGTCAGTTATTTCTATATTTTTGTCAGTTTGAAAAATCTATTTCCATTTCCAAGTGGAAATAATGCATATACTTGAGACAACCACATTTTAAAGGTGGACGCATTAATATATTTTAGTAAATTAACCAAATTAACATTTGGTATGACAAAACTTTGCATTTAAAACACTTGATACACTTGCCCATAGTTTTTCAGGTAGCTTTATATTTCAAACTGACATGCGACAGAAAAATAAAGAAATAACCAACTTTAAACCTTTTTTTTTTTTTTGGTGAAAATACTAGTGGCCTAACACTTTTGCACAGCACTGTATGTATGTATGTATAAAGAAAGTGCAGTGCTTCCCACACAAACTTTACTTGAGCGGCTGCCCAGGTATAACTAGTGACACATATTTTTTTTACTATTATTATGATCTTTTTATACGTTTTTTTTTTTTTTTTTTTGTATCTGCGCAACATAACCAAACATCTGCGATCAATTAAGTACTGGAAAATCTTCTTCACTTGCGTGAACTGTCAACACTCCCACAGACAGTCTCACGTGCTCTGCAGACCCATAAAGACGCACCTTTTTGGCACTTAAATTCGTCTAAATCTCCTAAAATGTCCAGGATTCATCTTTTGATTTGGCTTTTGAAAACTTGTATGCCTTTTTGCATTAACTTCTAACTTAAGCCTACTTTCGCTTGGCTTGTCGTGAGAGAAACATTAAATAATTTATTTTTAAAAGTCTAAGCGACTCAGAAAAACTTTCCTATAGACTCAAAGAGGATGAAATGACTGCTCTAATCTGGCTGCAAAATATATGAACACCTTTAGTAATGATTAATCAACACATTTGGTTAATCTACATATTTTAATCTTGTCATTTTGATTATTTTTAGAGTATTGTCTGTTTTTATTCCCTTTTCTGTCATTTATTTCTCATTTATTTTATGTTAATCTATTACATAGGCTATTCTATATACATATCTAAAATGCTTTGCCATTCAAGTTTACTTTGAACCTGAAAGAAGCAGACTTTACCCGCCAATGGGTGCACATGGCTCCTGAATAGCATAAATGTAGGAGAAATGGTGAATTTCTTTTTTATTCCAACAGTCTTTTTTCACTCATCGAAAAGAAATCGTCTCATTATAAATACAATTATTGTTGTTAACTTAATTTTTTTGTCATATATTGTAGTATATTTTTGTCATGCGGGTAAATGGTGTGCTTTAATCCGGCCACCAACACAAGTATATTTCATATCTTTAGGAACTACTGAAGTGACTTTATTTTGTTTCTCCTTTTGCTCTACAGGCTACGTTTCAAAGCTCCTCTCAAGCAACCCCTCGCCACGCCTACCTCTCTCACAGCCAATCAGGGCAGAGGTTTTACCACCATGGCAAATAGCCATTCGTTTTAGTTCAATGCAGAATGTTGGGGTAGAAGGAAAGATTCGCAGGCTTTTGGATTAAAGCTACACAGCCCACAACGCTTGGCATCGTGTTACAACATAAAACACATGACTATTACTGTCACGTCCCAATCGTTTTTCTCTTTCTTAGATCTGCCTTTGTAACCGGGTTTATTTGAACATTACAGTGAGATGTGTCTGAATGTTTCTTTTATTCATTTGACAACAGCTGTGCCAACATTAGTCGTATTAAATACTACCACAACATAAGTTAAATCTGGCTTTATACCTGAACTGAACAATGCAGAAATGCGTTCAGATATTACAATTTCAAGTTCTTGAAAGTCTACAAGAGCTGGAAGTTGCTAAGACTTATTTCAGTTTGTGGATGTACTTCTAACTTAACTGGAATATGGATTAGGGAATTATTTTGCACATCATTCTCTCATAGCAAACTAACGGTAAGAGGCCTGTGGTTAAGAATAATGTGTGTGAAGCCGTCAAACTAAAGCAAATGTTCCGATTTTGAAGATTACCAAAACACTTTTTAAATTAATCGTTCACCTAAAGAATAACAACGTGCGCTAACAAAACCAACATTGTAAATATTGATTTGACAAGGACTCCCACTCAGGGCCATCTGTAACTTGCATTAACATTGATGAATGCCGAGGAAAGCTGCCACAGAAAAGTAATATTTTCATATGATTTTAATTTGTAAATGTTTTAAGCCAACCAACTGAATTTCACAAAAGTGCACATGAAATATACATTTTATTAATCTGTTAAAGGAGCTTCTTAAAATAGTATTAAATGGTTGTGTAGAAAACTTGTTTTTTTTGATTGTCGTTTTTATATTTGTAGTCTGTTTGAGGAGTCTCTTAATTGAATGGTTATAGTATGACCTGACATCGGATGATGGTTATAGTATGACTTGACATTGGATAAGATTTGATATGTTCTGTCAGTAACTCGGCAACGACTCAATTTAAATATTTTTTAGCTCAGTTTAGATGCAGTGATCAGCATATGTGAGTACACCCCTCACAAATCTTTTAAATTCTTATTTTTAATAGGATGCTGTACAATATCATATTTGTGCATATACATTAAATTGATCAGTACTAAAGCCAAATGTGAATCTAACAAAATAACTGACAATAACGGTCCAAAAACTAGTACACCTAAATTCATGTTACAGAAAAAATTAAATACACATTTTAAAAAAAGAGGAAAAATCAAGAAAAGCAAAAAAATAAAAATAAATATGTATAAAAATATAAATATATAAATATGTTTGGTGACTAAAATTTTATATATTAACTATATCTATTTATTAAATCTGTTTTGTTTAAATGCACCAAAATACATAATATTCATTTTCAAAATAGGGTGTACTCTATTAATGCTGAGCACTGTATGTTCATTTTGTAGGCTGTCCCTTGTACTGGTGAACATCCCAAAATTTTGTTGATTTTGTATTTTTCTGAGTTTTAGCAATCATTTAAAAGACACTTACACTCACTGCCCACACTGCATGTTAATGCAAATATTTAAGATTTTTAATAGCTAAAATTGTATTTATATACGGTTGAAGTCAGAACAGTATGTATGTAAAATTTTCTTGTTTTATTTCCGCTAGAATAAAAGCAGTTTTTAATTTTGCATAAAACAATTTTATGCTCAAAATTTTTAGCCCCTTTTAGCTATAGATTTTTTCTGATAGTCTACAGAACAAACCGTCATTATACAATAACTTGCCTAATTACCCTAACCTGCCTAGTTAACATAATTAAGCCTTTAATTGTCACTTTAAGTGTCTTGAAATATATCTAGTAAAAAAATTACTGTCTATCATGGCAAAGATAAAATAAATCAGTTATTAGAAATGAGTTATTAAAACTTGTGTTAAGAAATGTGCTGAAAAAATCTTCTCTCCGTTAAACAGTAATTGGGGGGGAAATAAACGGAGGCTAATAATTCAGATGGGCTAATAATTCTGCCTTCAACTGTATATATATATATTAGAAGTGTGAACATATACTGGTCTCACGGTTCGGTTCGGTTACGATTATCATGCCATCGATTCGATTCAATTCGATATCTCGGTGCATCACGGTGCATTGACGATGCTTTCCATATATAGTGTTATATTTTAGGGGGGAGGCTATAACATGCTGTCTGTATAAACACACAGACACACAGCAACACACTGTCTCTCATTTAAACACATTCACAAACATAGACAGCATCAAACAAATGAACACACACACGCAAACACACACAAACAAACACACTTAAGCCCTTGCAACAGGGAGAGCTCGCGCTGAGTGGAGCAGAAAAACGGGAAAAAAAAAAAACGAAAAAAATAAGCACTTTTCCGAAGGTCCCTTACAGAGAGCTCCTCTCAGCGCGAGCTCTGCTGGCCAAAGTAAACGCAGACTGCGAGGGCTTAAACGGAGCAGTGCTCGTAATGTCGAGCGAAAAAAAGAAAGACAGCTGTGAAACATAACCAGCTTTGTCTTTCTGTAGGAAACACACTTTAGATCTTTTTAGGGTAAGTGTTTTTTGAGTTCTTGTCGTCTATAACTGAATGTGTGTCAGGAAAATCGAAAACAAAACCATGGGCCGGCCCTGAGTTGGCTGAGTGTTGTAAATAACGGCGCTCACCTCCCTCGCGACAGAGTGCATAGGAGATAAATGACGTCACTACATAATAACCGGTTATGGTTATTACTGAATCGATACCGAATTGTCCACATCTGCATCGCGGTGCACCGAAGAAACAATTGATTTTGACACCCCTAATATATATATATATATATATATATATATATATATATATATATATATATATATATATATATATACAGTACATGCTATATAACAAGCAGTGAAATGTAAGGTCAACTCCATAGATCGTGCAATATTTATAAACCATAGACAAAAATAATATTAAAATAAAGACAGTTTTGTTAAATGAAGATTGTAAAGTTTTTACAAATTATAATACATTAAAGCAGGATGTACAGGTGCTGAATCTGCTGAGATATGCAAGTTAAATAAGAATTTGAAAATAACTCATCGAACAACAAAATGCAAAAAAGTGCTGTGTCATGATATTGCCAAGTATTGGGTGGGGTTAGCTAAAAGTTAATGAAATCCTGTATATGTTGGAGATGTTAAGAGTTTAGTGGCCTGGGGTGAGAAAATCTCATCGGACTGTATGGAAGCACTTCCCAAAATTGCAGCAATGTGAATATGTTACCAGAATTATCCTTGATGGTTTTTGAGGCTCGGTTTTGTAATTTTATAATCTGACAATTGCATGACCACAAATCAGAGCATTTAGGCATAAATATTGTCCAGATAATTTGCTGAAGTTCAATCTGAGCATTAGAATGAGGAAGGTGAGTTCTTTAAATGTAAAATGTCATACCGTGTACCTCCATAGATAAATCTTGTTTAAACATACATCACAGAAAAATAGGTTAATCAGAACATAACACACTGTAAAATAACATTTGGGATCATTAATATGTACATCCTAGCAGGTTTTGATTGGCCACTCTTCTTTGTTTAGATAAAAACAATATTTTTAAAAACTGTTTTAAATTCATTTTAAAACAGCTTGCTATATTTTCTACATACTGTATGTGGGACTCTTATTTTGAAAACAGGACAGCCATTCAGCGGCTGATGCATGTGTACATTACATCAAAGCAAGACATCGCGCAACCCCCTCCGCTCCTTTATCTACGTCGCGGAAATCACTGTCCAGCTTGGGATGTCTTGTTCTTGTTTTGCATTACTCAAGAGCTGAATCCACATCACAGTTTTTGACTTTTCTTGATTTCAGTGAGTTTCATTTTGTTCTGAAATCCTGCAGTACTTTTGGTCTTAATATTTTAATGATGCAATTCAAACTTTGTACAGTAATGCCAATGCTTCAGTGAAATTACTACATGGTGCTACTCGTAGGTTTAACAATGATATGATAGAGGCAATTGTCAAGAAGGCTGCCCTTTATTTTCTTTTTCCTATGCAGCATTTAGCCATCTGTATTCATAAGAATAATTTGAAAGGCATCTCTGTCATTTTAAACTCGATCATTTTAAACAAGTCTGATGGCAAATAAAATGATCATTTAATTGCTGATGCAATTATCACAATATTGACCTAAGCTGAAAAAAGTTACTTAACTGGTTTAATGACCAAAAATACTTAGTGTACTGCTTTATTCTATATACACATTTAGGGTAAATGAATGAATGAATGAATGAAATTGCAAAATGATTTTAAAGTACAATATGTAACACTTTATCAATAATCAAGTCTCATTAGTGAGTGTTAGTTAATGGATTAAAATCAACAGTGAGACAAATCCAGATTTACTATGTTAATATTGGAGTTTGTAGTGTCTGGATGGTTTAATCACATTAATTGCAAAAAGCACAAAACTTTACTTACATATTCGGATGGAAAACCGCTATATGAGATGCTTTTGACAGAGTTCAAAGAGGTCAAGAATGACGTACTGAAGTGGGTCAGTTTTCTGCTGACAATAAAGAAAGAAATGGTCCAGGTGACATTTCTAACCAACCGAAAGCCTAAAAGCGTTGTCTTCAGAGGAAGACATACTTTGCTAACTATGAGCTATGGCCTTGAAGGACAAGACCCCTGAAAGACTGCCCGAATGCAGATGTAATAGAATAAATGCTTTGTTATGTTTTTTGTTCAAGTGTACAGTATAACCCTAAAGAGTAATTACTTAGCTCTAATGAACAAAAATGGATTTCTTCTCTGTATTAGCACTTTTAAGATATAATTCAATCCTTCAGCTTAGTCCCTTTATTCATCAGGGGTCGTCACAGCGGAATGAACCGCCAACTTATCCAGCATATGTTTTACACAGCGAATGACACTCAGTACTGGGAAACATCCATTCACACACTATGGCCAATTTAGTTTCTAACCTTCTTGCTGTGAGGCAACAGTGCTAACCACTGAGCCACCATGTCACCCTTTTAAGACATCAGGTATATCAAACTTTTGAGATCTATTCAAGTATATCAAACATTGATTATTGCTTTGCTGTCTTTACTCAGAATATAAAGGGATTTATTCTGTGTATTGACTTTTTTAAAATATAGACTCAAGTACATATAAAACATTGATAGCTTAAAACATTAAAGGCACACCTGTATTCAAAGGCTTGAATACTGTATTAATGGCTGAAACATACAAACCAGCAGCTTTTACTTTCTTTATTGTTATGCTTTCTTTATTGAAATTTATCTTTGGCTTCACCACACAACCACATCAGCGTTCACATTACACACATCACAGAAAAAAACAGGCAACAAAAATACATGTCATCACATATATCACATTAAAAAACTCAATTAAACCCTATACATACTAAGAACCCAGTATTTAAAATTCTTATGGCATTTGGCAGAAAGGACACATTTTTCTTTTACTTGAGGTTGCCGAAAACGTCTTTTTGATGGCAAGAGCTGAAATTTTCGATTTAAGGGATGGGAACAATCTTTAATTATGACATGTGCTTTCTGTTTAATTCTCATTGAATACATTTCATTTGGTTGTCTTTGTGCTTTATCTACAATTTCACTGGTAATTTTTACTACTCGACACAGTTTTTGCTTTTCCTTAATTGGCAACAGTCCATACCATGCTGTCCAGTTAAAACTCACATCACTTTCAACCTAGTTCTTGTATACCATCTCCAGAACATCTTGACTTACACCAAATTGTTTAAACCTCCTTAGATATAATCTCTGCATTGCTTTTTTAAAAATGCACTCT